CCTCGAAGAGATCACCGAAGGCTGCGAGGCGCAACCCTGCCACCACCACAACTTCGATTTCCTCTGTCTCGCGACATGGCTAGAACGACAAATAGCATGCCCGCTATGCAAGACCGAGATCAAGGAGGTCCGTTACGAGTTTAGCGACGACCGAAAGCAATGGAAGACCTTCAAGGCCCCAGAGAGACCCTCGGATAAGGCTGGAGACACAACGAATGCCCCTTCTGGTCAGCAAACGAGACGATATTACTCTCAAGCCCGCCCACGGCGACCGCGGCCCTATGCGCCTTCGACGACCCGGCCCAATCTGTCTCAAGATGAGGCAATCACCCGCCGAAGACATGTCTATCGACATCAATTGTACTCGCTACACGTGGGCTCAAACAGGATATCAAGATACCGAGATTTGACTCCGCAAATATTTGCCTCCGATACAGAGCTTGTCTCGCGCGCGCGTACATTTCTTCGGCGCGAACTACAGGTCTTTGAGTTCCTCTCGCCCGATCATGATGCAAGGCCGCTAGATACCGACCCGGTCCGACGTCGCAGAGCCAACAATGCCGAGTTCTTGCTCGAGTACATCATCGCTATCTTGAAGACTGTGGATATGCAAGGCAGCATGGGCCAAGCTGAGGAGCTCATTCAAGAGTTTCTGGGCAGAGAGAATACACGATTGCTGCTTCATGAACTTCGGGCGTGGCTGAGAAGCCCCTACATGTCGCTCGAAAGCTGGGACCGCGCTGTGCAGTATCCAGATATTACACTCAAGCGGCGACGGTCACAGAGTCGCAGCGCAGCTAATCGTGGAGAATCGTCCACGACCAACAGTATATACCCTTCAACCTGGAGGAGAGATGAGAGACAGAGGCATCGCAGGCAGCCTTACGAATCGCGTCGGTCACGGAATGACCAGAGATTACGAGAGGCGACAGAACGATACTCTGTTGATTGAGCACTGATAGCACGACTCGGACATGATAATACCCATCGCTGTGGCTTCACACCTATTTACGGCGGATCCTTTTGCGGAACTATTTTGCGCAGTGGATGACAGAGGATACAAGCTTTAGACTGGCCTGTGCTTTATTAGCTTGCAACTTTGCAAGGGCGGCAGGGCGGCAGGGCCCTTGGCGGTGGTAATGAACAAGGGGCGCACATAGACTCCACGAATCATGAATGCAACGTAACAAATCAAGTGCCGAAATGCAGAGTGCCGAACGACCATCGGAACCTTCCCAGACCCGCCTTCGCCGATTTTGCTTCGGCTGAATAATGGCGGATTGTGGGCTCGTTGGTGCTGATGTGAAGAGACGAGACGGGGTAAGCTCGTCTCGATATGGAGGAATCCCGCCGGCCTGTAGCTAAATGATTCCGGTCGGATCGGGCTCCGGGCCTGATTGGTAATCAACTAAAAGTCGGCGCCCAGTTACGGCGGAGTCCCGCCGTATTCGAGCGAGGCCGAGGCCGAGTTTTACGACATATTTGACGTCTTTGATTCCCATATCGTAGACTTCGAAGATGGACTTTGCTCAACCAATATCTGTGTACCTGTTCATATTCTCCTCATCGTCGAGCAAGAAAATTTGGAAGTGAATGAACGCCGCACGCCAAGCAAGCAAGATGTCCACCATCAACATCAAAGTCATATCAGACCCCGTCTGCCCCTTTGTAAGACGCCCTTGGGACTCATCAGAGAAGAAAAAAAAACGAGGTCACTAACATCACTGGCAGTGCTATCTCGGCAAGGCCCGTCTGAACAGGGCCATAGACCTCTACAAAAAGACGTACCCCGGCGGCAAGGACGACACCTTCAACGTAACCTGGCAAGCCTACTACCTCGACCCGACGGCGCCCCGCAAGGGCGTCCCCGTCAACGAGCGCATGGCGGCGCGCTTCGGCGCCGACAGGCTGGAGATGATGCACGCGCGCATGAAGAAGCTGGGCGCGGCCGAAGGCTTCAATTTCACGTTCGGGGGCAAGATCGGGCACACGCGGGACGCGCACCGGACGATCCAGCTGGCGAAGACCAAGGGTCCCGAGGTGGAGAACGCGGTGGTGGACTCGATTATGAAGAGCTACTTTGAGGAGGACGGGGACGTGACGAGCTGGGATATGATTGTGGACGCGGCGGTGCGGGGCGGGCTTGAGAGGGGGGAGGTGAGGCGGTGGCTCGAGGAGGGTAAGGGAGGGGAGGAGGTTGATCGGCAGGTGGAGGAGGCGTATCGGATGGGGGTGAGGGGGGTGCCGCATTTCGTGATTGAGGACAAGTATGAGGTTGGGGGCGCGCAGGAGGTGGGTGAGTTTTTGGGACAGATTGTTGCGGCGAGGGAGAGGGGTGGGAGGGCAGCGGGGGCACGGGACGGGCTTTCGTGTTGAGGTTGTCGTGGCACGCACGCTCACATGGAGAATGTAATCGGGGTGTAGGGTAATTCTGGGTCATGATGGAGTTTTGTTTGAATTTCTGGGGTATCATGTCGTAAAACAACCATGGTAGTAGAAGCGCCCTCGTTTACTATCCTCATTCCTTTTTTTTCCAACCAACATCACATGTTCAGCAATGCTCCCAAATCCTTTTCCATCGCCCGCAACCGCTGCTGCAGCTCCCGCTTCTTCTTATCAAGCTCCCTCACAAACTCCTCCTCGGCCCGTAGGTCCTCTTCCGTCATGACATCCTCGCCCGCTTCTTCCTCTTCGTCCTCTTCGTCATCAAATTGCTCGTCATCTCCCTCACTCATCCAATGATCCTTGTTCATTCTCTCCACCGCAGCCTGGTTCTCGGCAACCTTTGCCTCGTAGTACGCCAACGTATTCGTCTGGTGCGCGTACCGCGACCTCAGCTGCGGAATCCGCTCGAGCGCGCCGGGGAGAGCGTACACGCCGCACAGCTTCGTCGCGCCCTGCAACAGTACCTCGACGTCGACGTCGCCCCCTTTGCTCGCGGCCTGGCGCTCGCCGCGGCGCAGCTGGGCGTGGAGGTCGCCTCCGAGGACGGCGGAGACGGCGGTGTGGCGGCGGGGTCCGCCTATACCTCCGCCGCCTGCAGCGCGGGAGGTTCCTGGTGGTGGGCCGGTTGTGACTTCACCCGAAGCGACGTTGAAGACGGTTTGGCGGCGGGAGGTGGTGGGTTTCGCTTCTTGGTTTTGGGAGGATGATGATGTTGCTGGCGGTGGTGGGGGCGGGGGTACGGAGAAGAGGGCGCGTTCGTGGGCTTCGGTGTCGCGGATTAGGGAGGTGATATCGGTGTTGTAGAGCATTGCATTTGTGAAGATTTTGGGCGGTGGGAAGCTGCCATGGTGTGTTAGTGAATGTCTCGGATGGCGGCCAAATTGAGGGTATCTTGAGGAGGGTGCTTTTGACGAGGAGGGGCAGTGCGTACGGGAGCGAGTCGATGCCCTCGCAGCAGAGAGCTATCTGCTCGAGGTGGATTGCGAGCATTGACATAGTGGTGGTGTCTTGTTTTTTGATACCTCGAGTACGGAGTTGCGCTCTGCAGACGGTCGATGTTGAAGGTGTATAGTCAGTCCAGTGTTGATGTTGGATTCGGAGGTTTCAATGTCAACAAACTGCCCCACCAAACACATGATTTGTTTCTCAGTTGGAGAAGGAGCTCTCTCCCCCACGACCTTTGCTTGGCGCACGGACCAGCTCATGTTCATCCCCAAAACCTGCAGCTCAGCTGGGCGTCAACTTCCCCTTCCTCCACCTCTGTCACTCGTCAACTCTTCAACAGCTGCTGTGATCATCTTAAATCATCGTGGTCCCAGGCACTGCGACGAAGCCACGCATCATTTTGATGAGATTGAGGCTTCAATATCAGGCTGTGACGGCTGAGACCAATGACTCCACCAAGGCTCAAGGCATCTCCTCGTTGGACGGCAGTACGAATACAAACAACGCTGATGGAAGATTGACAAGAGCAACTGCGTCAAATCTGACAGCCAAGCCTCTATATGTCTCTCCCACGCTTGAATCACTCGACGGACAAGGAAGTCAGAAGTCAATTCACCTCAACTTTTGGTGATGCATAGCTGCACGCGGTAGAACCCGAACCACTCAGCTCGGTGTCTACCAGATCGACATCCAGCCACTCACTTCCCCAAGACGAACGGTCAGAGCTTGGACATTATTCACGAGGCAATTGTTCCGTACCAAGCACAATCAGATTTCAAGGCTGCCTGTTGCCTCGCCGGGTGAGGATCGCAATAAGCGGCTTGGACCCTCGAGGATGTGACTCTGTCGGGCTGAACGTGCCGATTAGCTGGGCACGTAACGTCAGAAATGACGACAGATGGACGCTCTCATTGGGTCCTATGCGCGTCTGCTGGCTTTCCTTCAAAGGCTGTTGGCGCATGTGGTGCACTCTTGCTACGGCAGCCTGTAAGACGCCCACATGCAACTCAAACAGCCCCGACAACGCAAGGCATAGTTGCTTTCTCTGACTTCTTGTCATCTTCTGTTCGCAACTTTATCGGTGTAACCGTCAGTGGCATCTAGTTGTGGACTCTGTCAACATCTCAGAGCCTTGCATGGTACTTTACCAGAGGCATGCTTTGGATCTCTTGGTGCACAGCCTGGATCTGACTGCATCTCGCTCTCGCGCATCGCATCTTCGCTTATTCGCACCCCATCTCAGCCCCCAAAAACACACCAGACATTGTCAATCTGTAAGGCAACATGGAGGGCAGGCAGCGGGGTGGCGCCCTAGCCGCTGCGACCGACCCCCCTAATTGGCGAGTGCCCCCTGGTCGAGTGACCAGCCAAGATGGAAGATGGGCGCCGTCGTCTATCCCGGCCCGGGTTCAGGCCAACTCAGCCCTGCCTGCACCTTGTGTCTGCTGTGTCTCTACTTCTTTTCTGGAGCAGAAAAATGTCTTACCTCTTCCCCATGAAATGCTAACGACCGCTACGAGGGGAACTAGGATCTCTAGTTTGTGGTTGGAAGTTTGTTCGTTTGTCTGACCGGCGCCGCCCTCCATCCCCATCTGCTTCCCCACGATATAATGCCGCGTGAGCACCCACCGTCCGTCTCCCGCTGGTCACTTGACCACATTCCTTTCCTGTCATCACCCTCTCTGTCATTTTCACTTTCGCCATCTGCCTATTCTTGGCTCTATATCGTCCTAGCCATACCCGTCATCATGGCCGCCGGCCTCTTCTCCATCCCAGGTTTGGGCGACAGGTTCGCGGTGCGGTATCGATCACGACAACAGAAACGAACAGAGCTGCATAAACAGAGGATGGGTTCGACACAGTTTCTCGGCTCCCAGGTGGGAGGCAGCTCCGTCATCAGCTATTCTTACACCGATTTCCCCTGGAAGCTGCTCGCATGGGATATTTACTACTTTTTCCAGTACATCTGGGCTCTTCCCTGGATCGTATGGCCTATTACCCCAGCCGATTCGGGGGACCTCGATGAGTTGGCTTTCACAAGGCAAAACCTCTTTTGCGTGGGAATGCATCTTTTCCTGTGCGTTTTGCAAATTGGCTTCATCTTGGCTTTGCCCTTTGCCGTCTTATTGCCTATTTGGATCGCCGGCCTCGCCTTCGGTGCCTTCTTCGCCGTCAACTATCTGCTCTGCCTGTTGCTGAATGGGCCGACCCTCACCTACACCTCGGATCCCAAGTACGCACCTGAGCTACCAGAGCACGCTCACGAGAAATGGATCTTTTTGAACGGAGTTGCCGTCGGGTAAGTTGTTATCGACTCTCACTTCGTGTTCCCAGTGCATTTCAATATGCCTCTATGAGGAACTAGATGGGGGCATAACAGACTGACTAACACGCATCAGGGACCACTGGATGAAGAACAATCTAAACAGACTCGCTCTCACCTTCAAGCGGCCAATCCTCGGTATCCATAACCAGACCTCGGGAATCCTCTTTGATGTTGTCGAATGTCTCATCCAACGGAACTTGGGGTACGCAACCTACGACGTACGAATGTGCTATCGTATTGTCAAGGAAACGCTTTACAACCCACAATACTCCAAGGTGGTCTTCGTTTTGCATTCGCAGGGAGGCATCGAGGGTGGTCTCGTTCTTGACTGGCTATTGCAGGAATTGCCACAAGATCTTCTTGCTAAACTCGAGGTAAGTGACATCAGACACTCCGTACAACAACACTTCTAACAATGTCTAGGTCTACACATTTGGTAATGCCGCAAACCACTTCAACAATCCCCATCGCCATGCAATGTCCCAGGCCCTGGCACAAAACAATCCGGCGGCCATGACTTTGACCACGACAAGCATAACCCACGGCGACTTCGTGGACAGCCCCATATCGCCAGTCGCCAACAGCGGTCAACAACGTTTTGTCTCGAGTCACAGCACCGGAAGCAAAAGCAACCACAGCAACCCGCGCACGCCCAGCCTTCCCAAAGAGTCGTCCTCCATTTCTTCTCGATCCTCCACGGCCGCACTGGACCGCGCTATTGGCCACGTCGAGCACTACGCCCACACCACCGACTTTGTCGCCATCTGGGGCGTCTTGCACTTTTGCACCTCCCTCACAGCGGACCACAGCATGCCGCGCTTCATCGGGCGGCTTTTCGTAAGGGCCTCGGAGCGCGGTGGACACCAGTTTTGTCAGCACTACCTCGACGGCATGTTCCCCCTCGCAAAGGACCCTGAGACGGGCGAGTTTATCGGCGCGGCGGAGGAGAGCGAGTTCATGGAGAGCGAAATCCAGGTCGGACGGCAGGGTGATGCCGGGGCCAACGCGCGCGAGGCGTTTGAGGTTGCGTATTTGGGGCGCGATGTCAACAATGAGGTTGAGTTCCATGGGGAACACGTCAAGGGACGGCATAGGAAGAAGACGGTCAAGGTGAAGGATCTTTCGAGATTGTGGCTGTACCGGAATGGACGCAGTCCGCCCGAGACGCCGCCTTATTTATATACGGAAAATGGGATCGTGAGGAACGCGACTTTGTAGATTGGTATTTGGTGGTTGTGTTTTGGTTTGTGTAGGTGGTTCTGTAGAATGATACCCTCTAGTTGTTATTGCGCACGTTTGGCTCGTTCATTATATAACGCCGATTATTGAAGATGGTATCAGTTTCCGTGTATGACTTACATGGTTCGGCGCTCCTAGTTGTGTACGGATCATCGTCAGGAAGTTGTGCTGATAGAGTCATATACTATCCAGCAAAAGAACTCGGTCCTGCTGGCATTGAGGCTGCATTTGATATACCCATGCACATCACGACAAGTGTGACGGAGGGAAGGAAGGAGAGAGAGCATGTAGATTAAAAAGCAAAAAAACAACAATGGGACGACCGATCGAGGATTCGAACTTGGATCCCGAAATAGACAGGAGTCTTCACTGCCTAACCGGGACCTCTGCAGCTCGAATTTGACCCCTCGACCATACGGCCCAGGTACTTGTTGTTGAGGACTTGGTGATGATTCATTGGATATGGAGCCTCGTGGGCGGTCTGGGTTGCTTTCTGGGAAGGTGCCGCTGGAATGATTGAGAAGGTGTGGAAGGTGTGGATGCCACACTGGCACCTGCCTTATATAGGTGCCGAAATATTTACTACCACATCTTTTGTCTTATTTGTTTATTTTTGTAACAGGTGTTGGGTAACAGAGAGAGCTCTGTGAGGGTATATAAGGACGGGCAATGCGCCAGAGACCTATGATGGAGGCAAGGCATCACGATCACCTGAGATTCCGGTGCTATCGTAGGGCTGTAATCCGAAGTCTAGGACTGAGCCATTCCGTATTGCTTGAGTTTCATTACTTGAGCTTTTATGGCTCTCTCAGGTGTGTCGGATAGTTTTAAGTGGAGAGGGGGAAGACATTCCATCTGAGGGTCTTGGCCACTGGCTCGTGAGTATTCAGCATTGTATACCTATGACCAGAACGAGCAAGGATGGCTGTGTGGTGTGCTTTGTGAGTTTGGGCCGTAGGACACTGTAGTGTTGTTGTGCTGAAAACCGCAGAAAACCAGTGCGGAGTTGGTACTCAACTATCACAACGCCTGCTCGCTATGATGCGTGGCGAGGGAAGGAGAAGAGACACCTCTCACTGGACTTCAATATATAAGTACATGATAGACTGTCAACTTTAGGAGCTGCGCGGTGAAATTCACCTTGACAAATCAGCCTCGCGGAGTATCAGCACGGCAGAATCAAGGCAGAAAAACAAGGACTTATAAACCACCACCACGTGAGATTCAGGGAGAGACTATGTACATCGTGTACCTTTGTCTTTGCAGTTGTGTGGCCGATCTAGCGAATTTCAGGAAAAAGGTTTTGAAGTGAGGGGTCTATACTCGAGGTATCATATGATAGATGCGCCACGGTAAGGTATTGCATTGCATTGCAGGCACGTAGGCAGCGTAAGATCCGGGGTGCAAACGTGCATGCTGGTGTCAGTATCGTGGCTTAATGAATGACGATATGCGAAACAGCGCACACGAGGGAGAAAAAGAAATGGCGTGCGATAATTATATTAATGAAGTCTTTAAGCTTGAGTTGGCAAAGTTGGCGACTTGACTTGGGTGTCTCAAGTCCTCCATGTGACACAAGCGACTTCTACCTTTTGTTCTGTAACATGCGCATGAATTATCACTTGAGATATGTCTGATTGGCAGAGCGAAATGATAAAAAATAATCTTACACCACTGGGTCGAATTGCTCATAGGTCATACAATGCGTGAAGCCGATATTGACGACATTGGTGATGTTCCTCTCGGTGAAGAACCCTCACCGAAATGTCAGACGGGCAGCGGGCCGATGAGGATCCATTTTGAGGTGTGTGTGAGTGGAGCCTACCTTATCGCAATGACTCACCGAGTGGCGGGTAGTGGGTCCGTCTCTCTTTTTTTTCGCCTGCAAGCTGCCCGGCTGCGGTCTTGCCCCTGTCGATGAAATGGGGACCCTGATAAAATCGGCTGGGAAACGATTATGCCAGCAAAAAACACGCATGCCCAACGGGATCCATCCTTCATGTCGGGACCCACGTCTATCCGAAAGTTATCCGCATGTAAAAAGTAAAATGTTCAAATCAAATTGCTTGGGCTTGACATGTGTCCGGCCGTGAAACTCAGCCTTGTTCGGTTTTCTGTTTCCGCTTGGACGACATTCTCGAATCATTTCAGGTTTTCTCCCCCCTTACTTAAGCAGTGGCATGACACTCGTCCGTCATTCATATTGCTCACTTCCGTGTAATAGCGGATGAATGGACTAGGGACACCGCCTCATTGTGAGTAAGATACGCCAGAGCTATTTTGATCGAATGCGCAAAAAGCAGGGCGGCTCACGCAATGGTTGTTGTGGCGCGCGTCCCGAGAGAGAAAATGTTTCCTCCCAACAAATGGACAACGAATCCTGAAGGTGGATCCATCCATGTCCGAAGCTACCTGCTTTATAAGGTAATGAAGATAAGTCACGGTGAAGGAGCTGCCGTAAGCTAAACCAGTAAAGCTATCCAAGATCGGAAAGCAGGGGACCTCACGCATATCTTAGCTTGGCTAAGAACGGGAAGAGAAAAAAAAAACTGTCAAGAATAGGTCCGCATGCCTCAGCCCTGGCATCTGGTTCGCGGCTCGCGCCATCTTGAAATCTTGTCAATCATTTCATTATCGGGCCGCCGAAAATTGACGCAAGCCGCTCCCTGCGCCTTCGGAGTACCCACCGATTCCACACACCTGTTTGTTTTACGCTTGGGAGGGGCCCATCAGAGCGGCAAAGGAGGGTCAAAGGACTCGAGGAGGCAGCTTGTGGTCCAGAACGGTGTGAGCGGGCCCCATAATAAAAACTGGAAATAACCCGAGCCCATCTCGAATTCGTTTCGCCATCTCTGCGGCGCCGCGCATTTTCTGCCCTACGCGCCTCCCTATCAAGGGTCTAACGCCTATCTACGGAGTCCTCAGGCGTCCTCTTTTTTGATAAGTGACTCGAGGGCGAGAAATTTATTTTCATACAAAGGGGATGGGTTTTTCCTCATCCTTCTCACCTGCCGATTAGCAAACATCCAACTAGGAATTGTTTACCCCCCAACCCTTGGAGCTTCCTCGAAGGCTCCTCACAACATCATCAACAGCAACATCAATAACACCGCCAAAAGGCATTATCCACACCACCAAGCCATGCAGTCGGTCCACATCAAGCACGGCTCAATCCGACAGGGCAAGTTTGACATCTACTGGAGCAAGGACAATGAGTGGGCCATCATCGACGAGGAGGAGGAGGAGAACGAGCGCAGGCTGAAGGAGCTTCATCGCCTGAGCACGCGATACTGGAGCGCTGGTCTCTTGGTTGTCCTGGTACCCGCTATGTGCGGTCTACTTTGGTGCTGCCGGTAAGCAATTTTGTCTTTCACCTCACTTATCTTGAGATCTCACTCACTAACACCTCACCTCAGATTCAGAAGACGCCTCTAAAAAGTATCGCGAGCTTTCAACACTCCACTCAACTCTTATGATTGAATCTCTTCAATCGAATTATGGCTATCCTTCGGGTATGTCACGCCCTTCAGTAGAAGTTCTCTTTTGAACCGACTGGGGCGAAATGAGCGACGCCGTCGACCCCAAAGACCAACGTCGCCATGCGTTCGTCTTGACGCCGAAAGCTCTCATTTCTTTTCCGGTTCTTCACTCATCGAACCACCTCGTTCACCTACCCCCATCAACCTCTCATCAACTTTCATCTTTCCTCTCTTGGCCTGCGCATGCTCAGCCGCCGCAACACCAGCATCAAGCCCAACATGAGCAACCCCCTTGACAACACCATGCGCCGCTGCGCTCGAAGTCGACCCGCCGGTGCTCCCCACCAGCACATCAGCACACACCTCGGCCCCCTCGATCGCAACCGCGCCAAATGTCACCCCAAGCGCCATCGGGACCAACACGTCCCCCCTCTTCGTCTTCACCGCCAGGCCCCTCTCGACGGCATGCCTCTCGAGGATCCGCCGTTTCCTGCGCGCGTTCCGGATGCGTGCCGCGTCGTAGGGGACCATGAGCCAGCTGAGCCCCGCAGTGACGGCGCCCGCTGCTGTGTGGAGCGCTGTTGCTGTCGAGCTGCTCGCGAGCCGGCGGATGTAGTGGGATCGTCTTGCGATGAGAGCTTCGTCAGACATTTGGCGGCATTTGAGGTCGTATGCTTCTGCGTTGAAGGGCATTGTTGTTTTCGCTTTGGAGTCTTTGGAAAGCCGTGGGATGCAACTTGTGCAGGGGTGTAAAGGGATTCGATATGGAATGGGCGGGAATCGAGGCTGAGACTTGGTTGGACTTATTCCATCTCTCTCAGACCTGGACTGAGAATATGGTCCTTCGGGAAGCACCTGGCAGTTATAATGTCTCCAGCTATGGAGATCATAATCGACCTACCGTCACAAGCATTCAGACGACGATGGCGCAAGCAGGCAGAACTAAACAGAACGCATATATTGCACAGAAAGAATAGAATCAAGACCGCAGCAGCTCGCACAGATGTGGCTGGCGGAACCTTGAGCTTATCAGACCATACAATCTTCTCTCAGTTGTCGGTCGGAGAAGATAAGTCCGGCCCCGCCAATACCCAATTTCTATGTCTAGTCCGACCCCGAAAGGAGGGGGGGGACGGGGCCGGTTCTTTCGGGCCCCGGAGTAGGGGTGGGGATCAGTGCGCCGGTCGCTCCCGGTGTGGCGGAAATGTGCTCCCGTCGAACATAACATTGGACGGACTGGGACTGGGGCTGCGGGGGGTCAGATCGGTCCGGCAGTACTGGAAGAGGCGGCGAAATGAGACTGATTGAATCTGAAAAGCTTCCGCTGTGAAAGAAGAAGTTTGCTACAGGCCAGCAGTCAGGAAGCTGAATGGACCTAGTGATTTAGTGGGTTGGTTCGATTTCCCATTGAACGTGTCCATTTAGCTTTCCGATTGTTGGCCCGTAGTACACTTGATCGTTTATAGCGGAAGCACTCTTTGACTTCATGTCACGGCGTCGGGCCTTTTTTCCCTTAGGCGGAGTTTCGGAGTCCGGCTGCTTGAAGGTTGATCTGCCGGCGGCCCGGCGCGGCCGTGGATATCAGATGGTCCAAGCAAGATTCTCAGGTACGGTTGCTTGTCGTCTGAAGTCGCGGGCGAGTGAAGGAAGGTTATGCTCAACTAAGAGCCGCATTCGCAGCACCGTTTTCACGATATTAGGAAAGCAAACGAAGTAATGAAGATAATGAGTAATGAGGTCTTCTCGCATTATTAGATCTTAACATTATGAGGTCATGAGCATCGTGAAAAAATCCATCCTCCCCTTTCCATACCATAGGCCTTCCATGGCCTGATGTTCCGTTATTTCCCATCCGATGCTGTACAATGACCCCAAATTCCCGGGATCCGATTCCGTCGTGGTCCCGCCACGAACGCCTATTTAAGCTCTCAACTCGGTATCCCGCCGGTACGTCCACGAGTGGGCGTCAGAGTACACGGGCTTATACCCCAACACGCCCTCGACCAGAGAAAGAATGATGGTAGGCGTGAGGATGAAGGCGCCGCCGTACTTGTGCTCCGAGACGAGTACCAGGCGGTCGATGCTCGCGCCCATGCCGAAGGCGCACTGGTGCAGCTTGACCTCGACGGCGGGAGGCTGTGTTTCTTTTGTCAGTGACTGCAATGTCTTTCTTTTGTGTGATAAAGTCTCGAGAGAGAGGTTCTTACCTTGCTGCTAATCTGGTGATTCGTCCTCCTCCACTTCTTGAAGTAGTCCGCCAAAAACTTGAGCGTCGCGCTGTGGCTGCCCTGGATCTCAATCTCGTGCGCGCCGCGGCTGTACACGATGAGGTGGTACGGCGCCTTCTGCAGCAGCTCGTCCGGGCGCGGAAGGGCGTCTGCTTTGGGCATGAAATCTGCCTGCGGTCCGCGCGATGCTGTCGAGCTGATGGAGGCGCGCTGACGGAGATGGCCCGTGCCGCCGACAGAAAGACGGTTCAGACGGGCGTCCATTTCCAGGTCGGCCCAGTCTTCTGTCGGAGAGGCGGAGTAAGGGGGCAGCTGCTTGTGGTGGTCGGCGAAGCAGTCCTTGATTTCGGACTTGAAGAGGGGGTGGAGGTCCATAGGGGTTATGAGGCGGAGTTTGGGGAGGGTGATGAGAAAGCCTCCTTGGTCGTCGGACCATGCTGTTGAGGCGTGTTCATCGCTGGCGACCTGTTTGCGTGTTTAACTTTCACGTTTCTTGCGAGTACAAGACAATAGGGTTCACTCACTTCGACAAAGAGTCGCAACCTCGACCAAGTGAGTCTCAGCTTGTCCAGGAGGGTGTTGGTCCACTCCTCATTCTTCTCGTCCTCGAGAAGCTCCGTCGCGGCGCGGCACCATGCTTCGACGGTGCCGGCGACGGCGGCGACGAAGTCGGTCCTGTCTGCGTACTCTGCGTCGAGCTGGGTGAGGAGGATCTGCCAGTCCGGGTTGACATCTACTTCGAGGCCGAGGACGTCTCGGAGAGCCTTGAGGGCTTGCTGGAGGTAGCTGTCTTCCTTGGTCCAGTGGTCACGGATTGCAACCTTTACTTTGAGGGGTCTGTGTCATATTAGTCGTTGATACACATGTGATGTGAAGGTTTATGAGAGCCACCTACAGAGTTGTCATGCCAGGCGTGGATAGGTTTTGGGTAGTGAGTTTCTTGGTGTTTGGATCTGAGTGTCAGATGAATGAGATGATGGTGATGATGATGAGAAACAAGAGATCTCTCTTTCCTCCTTCCCGCACTTATAAGGGGAGTCATCCGGTGGTTGATATTCACCTTCCCAAGCAGCAGGAGTGGAGCCGCGATGCAGCTAGACGCATCAGTCGATAATCCACCCTGGCCACTTGAACACACTTTCGTGACACTTCTGCCTCCCCCCGGCGCCGCCAAGATCGGGCGCCAAGAGGTGCCCGGCAGGACGGTGGCATGCAGCTGGGCATGTGGCGTCACACTCATCCCAGGCCGTGCAAAAAAGGCAACAAGGGGGGAGGCGGAGTACCTTTTCCACGTCAATCATGCCATATGGGACTTATGGAAAAAGAAGAAATGAAATGAAAATGACACAATACACGTGTACGGTGTAGTCGGCGGGGGTTGTAACTTGTTGATCTGGGTTTCGAGAGAATACGACGTTGCGGAAACCTTGGCTGGGTAAAGTGCGTTCCTGTAAGCTCCGAAAAGAGAAGAGAAAACCAAGCACTGCATCTTTACACCTCATAGCTTACGGGCGGTACGGAGCCCTTCGTTACGAAGTCCACTAACAAACTATCCCTACCTCTACTACGCAGCAATTAAACCCAGGCTACCGCTGAACGGTGCAGTTAGTCTGGTCCGGGGCACGGCGGCTGGATCTGCAATGGGTGGGACGCATCAGGTCAGATGATGAGCTGATGGTTCAGCGCGGGTCCCCATAAGCGGCCACCCGCGTGAACATGCCACAGCCCAGCGGTTCCATCGGCCGGCCGGCACGCCGCGCAAACACACACAACCCATCAATGACCCATCAATCCAAGTGACAACAAGCAGAGTTTAGTATGGAGTATCCGTACTTTGTACACATCTGAGCCTCTCAGGAGGGGCGTTAGGTTAGGTGTCAATGACCAAGGCGCGTGCCGGGTTGCAGCTGTCCTCTTAACACGACATCCCTGCGATTAAGAGTCTCGACTTTTCAGGTTGTCGACAACTCATCTACGGTCAGACTCATACAGACGGTGAGGGAAGGAAAAGGAACACCAAGACCGGGGAAGGAGACAACAATAGCACCACGGTGTCACGGCCAACGGTCCGGTCCGAAGAAAAATGTTCGGAGACAGACGGACGGATTACCAGGGATGATGATGTCACTCGTGTTCAACCACCTTTGCATCTCATCCTAAAGTACCTAGTGTACTCTGTATGATCTCTCCGGCGCGTTGGCGGCCTCCTTCTCATCCGACAAGTGTTCCCGCCCTCGCCCGCAGCTCCCGGGTCCGCAGACATAGTTCAACACTTTAATTAAGAGACGGGCGCCGGTTTCGAGTATGTGCCGCCGCTCCTACGCTGGATTACCAATTTACTCCTCCGTACACTGCCACAGCCCTCATAGTGGCACCCAAAACTCCGCAGTGATGCGTAGATGCAGTGCCGAGCACCATTTGGTAAGCCGATCGATTATCGATGTTTTACACCCTTACGACTTACGACATGCGAGACTCGTCTCATGGGTAATGGACTCATGGAGGCGCCCGTTGATCGACATGTCACCCCGCAATTCCCCTCACTGCTCAGCGAACCCATCATTACCATCTTTACCATCTTTAACTACCTTAGGTTACCTTAGGTAAGCTAGTGTTCCTGAACCCCTGAATGATTGCCTGAACTGTTGCGCGATGCCCCATGATGCGCCACCACCAAAACTCCACGAACCTCACTCACTCATGTCCACAATGTTCAACATGAGGAGAAAAGAAGCGACGAGGATAGGCAGATGTCAAAGAATAACCTCCACATTCTTTACATCCGTTCGCTGTTTTCTGTTTAGCCTCGTCAGGCTGAATACTTAGTCGCGACTTAAACCCTGTGATTGAGCGCGACTAGTGGCCGTTGGCGGGCCAAGAGTCAATAGTGAGGCTGGTTTCATCCTTCATGAGAAGGAGCTGAGAAAGGAGGCTCACAACTGAGGGGAAAATGCGAGACACTCGATCGGATGACTCAAGCTAGGCTTCAAGAGCTGAAATAATGGATGAAAGGATAAAAGGCTTGTATTCAGACGACTTCTCACACTAGATGAAATTGATCTCATCAATCTGAATAGAACTTCACTTTCTTTACTCGTCTGATCAATCACCATGTCTCGCTTGCCTCCTGCCGAGAAACTCCCTCTCGCCGTGCGGAAGAACAGTATGTACTGATGTCTCAAGTCAAATATTCAGTCACTGACCACCTCCGAGTCCGCGATGATTGGGAGAACAAGAGAGAAGACTTCCAGAATAAGCTCTCTGACGTCCTGGGCACAGAGTGGACGCTCAAGGACATCAGCCCTATCGCGCTTTACCCTTACGCCGAAGAGGGCTACGCCAAAGAGCGCCTAGGAAGCTGCATCGAAAAGTAAGGTCCAGACGCGAAAGCGTATCCGAGCTCTCTAATCTAACAATCAAAACCAGCTACGTCGACTCAGCAATCTATAACCTCAATTACTTCGTTGAAAGATACGGCGAAGACGGCAAATCCGAGCTCAACTCCATCTGCCACGCCCACTCCCTCATTATCGACCTCGATGACCGCCCGGAGGGCGAGCGCGTCTCCTACTGCGGCGTCATCGTCAAGGAGGGCGGCGTGCTAGCGATCGTCTTTTCCGAAAGAAATCTAGGCGTCAACATCGGCTCCGCCCTCGAGACGCAGGGTCTCCTGAGCGCCTTGAATGCCGCGCCTCCCGCACCGGGGTCCGCCGCGCCCATGAATTTTGCGGCGCGCACTTCCGTCAGGCGGGACTATGATCTGCAGATCGAGGAGACGAGAAAGTCGTTTGCGGATATGCTCGAGAGGCCTGACATTGTGCTGTGTCCCAATTTCGAGGCGAACTTTGAAAAGATCAAGGCTGCGGCGGAGAAGAAGGGGAGCGAGGTGAGGAGTGATTGGGAGGTGAACATTGGTGCTTTTACGAGGATGTACTTTGAAGGGCTGAGGTCTCAGATGAGGTATCAAAAGTTTGATGATGATGATATGTTGAGGGAAGGGTTCAATGAGGCTGCTGAGAAGGGGGAGATTCACTTCCGGATTGTGGATAAGATGGCGTATGCGACGTACGGGGAGGTTGTGTTGGATGATGAGCTTATTTGTCTTCAGGTATGTCCCGTCGACTTCACGGTTTTAACCTTGCTAACCGGTTTTACCAGACCCAGGCGCATAACTTTGGAACGAATGTCGATTACGCAGCAGAGAAGCTCTTGGACCAGCTCTAGGTGGGTGCTCGTATGTGCTCAAGTTGAGCCAACGAGGCCAGGAATATTTGTAAAGTTCAGACTCCATTTCAGGCAGTCAGCACTTGTTACCACCTATCATGTCAAACGCAGCCAACTCGAGCTCCACAACGGTGAGACCAATGTTGCCGGTATAGATGGTAGAGTCGCCAATAGACGGGTTCTCCAAGAAGTTGACGCCGATCATCGAGGCAATTAAATAGACAAGAGAACAACCTTCGTCCCTACCTCTTCTACGACTTCTATCACTGCCTCTATCAATACCTCTATCACTCGCTTTATTGCTCTCTCTATTCCTCCCTCTATCCCTCCCCTTATTACTTCCTCTACTTCTATTGTTGTTCTCTACTTCTCAAAGTATATTCTATGATTTCTATATATGAAGGATTGAGCACTTGAGATAATGACAAGGATAGTAGTAAAGATACAAGGGAGAAAGGTATTAATGATATATTAACCATCGGGTTGTTATGTCACCCACTTAGCTACCTATCTACCGGGCTCTACGGCACCACCGTCTGCCATCGACAAGCGAGCGACACATGGCCGTCTCGAGCAAGGCACCCATCACGCCACCAACGAGCACACCTCCCGCATCGCCAACAGTAACAAGCCCAAGACAAACCTCTCGAGGAACCGTATCCCTCCCTTCTCCAACCAGCCTTGCCAAAACATTCACATACACAGATCCAGCCGCTAAACCGATCAAGAAGACCAAGAAAAAGGACAGTTGCGTTGAGACGAGGAACACGGCGTTGAAGAAGGCAACCGCCGTCCAGGCGCACAGAGCCGTCAGATGAAGCCTGAAGTTTCGCGCCGGAAGAAGCTTAAGCGATGACCGTCCCATCCAGACACCTAGGTGGAGCGTCATGCCGTATGTTGCGTAAAAGTGGGCGAACGTATCAAACGCTGATCCTTCGAGCGGCCTGGCGAGGCCATATTGTGAGAGAGAGATGGCTGCGGATGCTGTGAAGAGAGGCAACATCTCCGAGCGCATGAGATTACGGAGCAGCTCAAACCTGCTTCGCTCGTGGTTCGGACCATTGGCCTCGTCGTGCCGCAAGAAGGATTGTCCTTCCTCGGCACTGGCGTCCTCTCGTTGCTTCCCTCGCGCGTCATTCTTCGTACCCCTTTTCGAGAACCGTTGAGGCAATACAACAAAGTGAGCCACCAGAAGCAGAGCTACACCGTAGTAGACATACGTGGTAGCGCTTCGCAAAAGCTTCCCGGCACCGTACGTCAAAAGAAACGGCCACACGGCGTTCTCAAGTACCCCCGCGCCGCTACCGAAGCCCCACCCCGCTAGTCCCGGAAGCCCGGCCTGCCCGATCATCCCAAGGCAGGAAACCTCCGTTACCGCCGCCGCGATAGATGCAATCACGGTTGTCGCAATGCGTATTGGCGGAGGCACGTTCGGCGGCGTGTCATCTGCGATTCGCTTGAGAATGACCCATACTGCCGCAATGAGAAGCGGTCGGGTTCGGTATGGTATGCGGTGAATGATGAACGGGAGCGTTAGCTTAGTGAGGAGCACCGGCGCGACTTCGATGAGGATGACGATGTGGCGGGGGTACGGGATGATGAGATAGTTTGAGGCATGAATGAGGGACGGTAGGATTGTATTGGCTAAGCCTGTGATTCGTATGAGTTTATGCCGAATTGTGGTTGCAGTAAAGTGCTTTCTGCCCGTCATCAGTTAAAGAGTAAACCAAACTCACCTATCAGGGCAAAAGCCAAAAAAGTCCGAAATTCGTCAAAAGACCACGCGGTCCGGGCCGTGGTCTTACTTTTTGACGCCATCGCGAAAGCGAGGTCTCGGGGTGTATCTAAGGTTCACGACATCCTGCAACCGCGAACTGAGACATGGGGGTTTCCCTCTCAAGAAGTATAAAGAAGAAAGGCTGCGCGCAGCCTTATTCGAGATCAATTAAGGGAACACGATCGTCACGGATTATGTCGAGGAATCAATGATAGACCTGCTCGACATCCACGTGTTAGGTGAGAGCCCAATGCGCATGGGTAGTGGGTGAGTTGTCCAGAACCCGGTCCGGACGAATCGAATCCACCACGTGGGATGAACCCGGCAATTGATAGGGAGCTAAGGCCCCGCGTCGGACCCGTCGATCCATATGGCCGTAACGGCAGCACGCAGCTATGCCGGCCGATTGTCATCTTATCGGCGTCGTCAGCTCTGATTTCTCAATGCGATGCTTGGCAGACTCGTTATGTCGGGTATTCGTCTGATAAGCAGAATGTGCCGCAGGCGGGAAGGTCATTCTATCATCCATCAGTGTCTACCTCTGCGAACATGATGATGCCTGGAATGGCGTCAGCTACGTGTCCATGGCGTCGGTGGTCGAAATCAAAGATTGAGACGCAAAGCAGCATGTGGGATGGCGAAGCTCAACACCGCCGCCGGAGCCCGGTTATCAGGTCAGGTCAATATTGTGCCGATATTGTGAAGTTCATCCTACCTGTCATCATCTTCATGGGCGTCTTTGGCTTTGTCTTGACGAACTTTGTAAGTCCACCGTTCTCTTTCGCTCTTAGGGTACTACTAACACGATCTTCATAGTTCCCTGCAGAGTTCAGACACTTCATCCATGGCAGTGACGCAGAAAGAAGAATCACGGGAACAGACCTTGAAAAACTTAGGAGTTCAACTCCTGTTGACACAGGGGGCTCACGCCGACTGCGACTCTTTATGCCCGCCGACGGACCAAACATCAACCTCTGCAAGACAGTCATGTCGGCCGTGGCGCTAGGCTACCCCATGCCCACGCTTTTGAACTGGAACGGAGAGTTCAACAGGCCTGACTGGCACTTTGCCGGTTCCCACATTGCGAAACTGGAGTCACTGTTGGCGGTCATCGATGCGCTTTACGAGAAGAATGACGGGGACAATGTGAATGAGAACGATCTCGTTCTCCTCGTAGATGCCTACGATATCTGGTTCCAGCTTCCGCCATCCGTCTTAATTGAGCGCTTCCACCAGCTAAATCGCAAAGCCAACATTCGGGTGCAGAGACAATGGGAGGAAAGCGGCCTGAAGAGCGGGTTCCCCATTAGCCCCCCGACGCAGAACATCATCGTCACCGCAGCCAAAGATTGCCAGCCGGACTGGGAGTCAGGGTCCGATCCGCGGTACGACTACTGGCCAGACTCACCCCTGCCACGAGACTTCTACGGCGACAAGACTGACCAGGTTCTACCTTATGTCTTTGACTCGGCGAGGAAATACAAAAAGATTCGCCCCCGCTGCGTCAACAGCGGGATGATCATGGGCACTATCGGATCTTTACGGGGCGCGCTGCGCAAGAGCAAGGAAAAGATTGAAAAAGCCGCGGGTAGCGGGCGGCAGCTCTGGAGCGACCAAGCTCTTATCGCAGAGGTTATTGGGGACCAGGAAGTTTATCGCCACTGGGTTCGTGGCCTCTCTTCAACGTGGAATGGTTTCGTTTCTGAAGAGCATCTCGGGAGCATGCCGAAAGAGGTGCGGAGAATTGCAGACGCGGCGCTGGCTGGCGAAAAGTTTGAGTTTGGGATCGGGCTGGATTATGAGTTTGCCACGATTCCGCCTACCTGCTCCTCCGAAGACGACGGGTACTTCGTGGAGCTTGACGACGCCGAGGCCATCAAGAAGGAGTCTGAAAAGGCTGGGGTCCCGGGCGAGGTGAGGGTACAGAGCATTCCGGAGGAATTGCGAGACGTCCCTCGGCCTCTGCCGGGGCACAGCTGGGGCAACGTCTCGCTCTATACCGACTTCTTCTTTGGTACCGCGTCCGTGGGCATACATCACAACGCCTACATCTTTGGGCTGAAGAAGTGGCGGCTGGAGAATTGGTGGAGTCTGATGTGGTTTTATCCTCACTTGCGGGATCTCGTGATCGAGGCTCTTGATGCGAATCGAAAGTTGATGCCCTTAGCGAGGCTTCTCACTCGTGGCGACAGCGGGAACGAGGTGGTCTACTGGGCGGCGGAGGAAGAGCTTAATGGGAAGAAGAGCGTTAGGGTGTATGACGGTTCGAAAAAGCCGGGAAACTTTTCATTTATTGGTTGGGATGGAATATGCCAAAATGGAGATGAAAAGTGGTATAATGTACTGTTTGGAGATGGAAAGGGGCAGCTGGAGGTGTGAGATATGTACTTGTCAGAGACGCGCGATGAATACAGATTTGGCGATGGCGGGGTAAAGGCCTCTCTTTCCCACGGCCTGTCTTTGGGTCAACGGTTCATAGGCCCACGCTTTCCCCCAGTTATTTTAACATCTCATTGTCGACTTCGCGGTAAACCTTTCGACAAGTAGCTCCTTGATTATGTGGAAAATCCGGAGTTCATCATCATGTCAGTCCATCATAGCAAACGCATGCTCCCTTTCAACTGACTGTATGCTGGAACATAAGCCCATTGACGGTGATCTCCAACGCATGAGGCTATGTCGATGGACATAGGAGGTCGACTTAGAGCCTCGTTTTCGCATCACAAGGCGTATAGACAATGCTCGGGACAACCGGTAATGAGTGCCAATCCATCTTCAATACACAATGACGGAGACAGCCTGTGATCATCCAATGAGGACCGTATGCGACGTAGAGCGATCGATGGAATAACGAAGAGAGAGAACCGGGGAGATGATCCAGTCTCGGGGACGCTGTATACCTGAATTGGGCATGGTATCGTATTTGAAGCTGTCTCATTGGCTAGTCCGTGGGTTCTTGGCTATGAACAAGCCCCCGTAATGCGACTATACATGTGGGGATACACGGATCCGAAGATCTTAGGGAGAGGCGGCGCAATAGCCCTGTACCTGGATGCTTGCTTGGTGGCAATGCTGCAGCCCATGGTAGATCATACAGTCGTGATGAGGCTCGATATGGTTGTTGATTTGTATAAGTTGACTACATCTCTCTTCAGATGAGATGCCTCTCTTCTCAACAGTCAAGGACAACGTTCATTCACTCAAGCTTCATCCTCGCCCTGTTTCTCCTAATTACAATCCACTCTCTTTTCTACTCAAAAACTCGAAAGCCTGAGCATCGCTAGTCTCAGGATGAAGCAAGTCAACTTCTTCACCACGGCCATGGTAGCCTGTATGGCCAAGCTCGTCGTACGCCCCCCCCCCCCCCCCCCCCCCCCCCCCCCCCCCCCCCCTCCCCCCCCCTCCCCCTCCCCCCCCCCCCCCCGCTCCTCCCCCCCCCCCCCCCCCACACCCCCCCCCCCCCCCCACCCCCCCCCACCCCCACCCCACCACCCCCCCCCCCCCCCCCCCCCCCTCTAACCCTCTACAACTTCAAGTCTTCTCACCTACTGGAATATCTAGGCCTCGGCGGACATCGTCGCAGACTCCCAAAACGTGACGGCCCCAGACTTCATCGGAAAAGCAGCCACGTCTCAACCCCTCCGCCCCAAGGAACGCTTCTCCCCAGACGCCCTCCATGCCCACATTGACGGCGGCAACACCCGAAGCGACGACTACATGGGCCCCCTCGGCATCTCCTCCGTCGCCTCCTCGGCCGCCGTGCAGACGGGCTACATGTTCTGGGAGAACAGCACGAGCCTTCTCGTCGCACTGGAGTGCGTCTCCTCCCAGGCGCCCATCGGATTCTGCCTCGCGGCGCTGGACCCGGAGACCATGGACGTTCTCGTCCAATGGACCGCGCCGGCGGGACGTACTGCCGTCTCGAATTACTGGCAAGTCGTCGACAACCACCTCGTTATGCCCACCCTCGAAGGCTTCATCATGGAGATCCAGCGCCTCGGCACCGGCACCTCCACGACTTTCACCCAGATCCGCGAGGTCGACGTCTCGTCCCGTCTCCCTTCGGGCTCCATCATTGCCATGGCCGGGTACACGGACGACGAGAACCTCTGGTTCGTCGCCACGCCGGCGCCCCTCGTCGGCCTTGAGGGAAGCAACACCACCACCATAGGCTATGTCCAGCCCGACGGCACCATCTTCAGCACCGCGCTGGACAACCAAATCGTCGAGAACGGCATGGCCGTCAACGGGAAAAACATCTACGTCCTCACGGGTCCCGCCGGCCCCGAAGACCACGCCGACGCCCGGGGCCACTTTTATGCTTTCCAAGCGGATACGGCCAACGGTGGCGGCGTGGTAGCGGCCTGGAACGAGACGTACCTCGCCGGCAGCGGTATCAAGCCAGGCGGCCTCTCCCGCGGCTCCGGCGCGACACCAAGCCTCCTCGGACAAAAATACGTCGCCGTGACGGACAACGCCGACTCGCAAATCAACCTCAACGTCTATCGCCAGGCTTCCGCCATGGCCGAAGGCCAAACCTCAAGCTTCGTCTGCTCCGTCCCGCTCTTCACGCCCGGCGCGAGCCTCAACGAGGCCTCGCTGACGTCGCACTTTGACGGGACGACGTACAGCGCCATGATCCCCAACTGCTACAACTCGCCTTCCTTCCTAGACGTCAGCGAGGACGACGTCAACGGCAGCTACAATAACCTCACGCAGGTGACTCCCGGCGTGGCGCGCGTGCGGGTCAATGCCGACGAGAGCTGCGAGCTGGTATGGGATTTGCCTATCGTGGCGACCATGATCACGCTGTCGACGAGTAACGGTATCTTGTACGCGTACACGCAGGACCGGGAGCTCGCCGTGGGCGGGGAGTATGTGTGGTACATTGCGGCGTTTGATTATGCTTCTGGACAGGAGATTTGGCGCAAGAGGGTTGGTGCTGGTGGTGTGTTCAACCCCGGTCCGTCGCATCTGCAGCTCGGTGCGAATGGAAGGATTTATGAGGGTATTGTTGGTGGTGTTGCGTGGGTTGAGGATTCTCCTTCTCCTTAGATGGGGTTTTCTCATTGCCGGTGTTTCTGGTGAGAGAAGCTGCTTGGCATCGTCAGTTGGTGAACGGCGGTAATATCGGGATGGGGCAGAGCTATATGAATGGATATAAGTTTGCTAGATTCCACGCATATGAGACTTAGATCACTTACTGTCACATTAATCTAATTCCTTCACCACTACTTTCTGCTTCTGAGAACGATTAGAAATCTCTAAAGGGACGTCGTGAGGTTAGACTTATATGAGTCTAGCCAAGATTGGCATCAGCCTCGTGATAATCCTGTGTGAGTATAGGTCTAAGTAGAGCGTTCAACCATCCTCGCGTTATGCAAAAAGCAGAAATGATACCACTTCCTCCCATCAACCTAAACATACACTCGCTTTAAAGGATAAGAACCATATGCTAACCTCTCAACTCTCAACCCACTCAAACTCCTCGACAGCCAACGTCATCTTCGGCCACCACTCCCTCGGCAAGAATCTCATCACCCCGTCAAACTCCCTCTCCGCCGCACCCTGCGCCCACCACAAATGCGTCGCCCTCCTCAACAGCATAAAGAAGTACCCGACGATAGCCAACGTCCTCGGGTCCTGCGCCTCCAACAACTCGACGAACCGCGGCGGGACGTGCGCAGGGAACCGCAGCAGATCACGCTGCAGAGCCGAACCCTGGATCTTATCGAGACGGTCGACAGCGATACGATACGCTTCCAACGCCTCCGGCTCTGTCTTTTCTTCATCGAGGTCTTCTAGCAGGAAGTCAAACGCCCCCGGCTTTGCTGGCCTCGGCGTCTCGTTTTGCTGTGATGAGGTCTGCCGCTCTGGTTTATAGAGGTGGCTTATCCTACTATTCCGGATCCCGGGCAAAGCGACCTTTAATAGCGCGTTGACGTTCCGAAATGGCGTGAACCAGTGATGCGGGACCCGCGACCTCGCCCCCGTCCCCTCTCCCGCATCCGATCCGCTACCGTTGCTATCGAGAAACGACTGGTTCGCGCTGGTGTGGAACATGATGATGGTACACGTCGCCATCACGACGGGAGCATTCTGCGCGTTGATCCCCTCGCGCACAATTTGTCTCGAATGCGCCTCGATAGCCCTCGCCATGTAAGCATGCGAGGCCTCCGACACTGCTGCTGCATAAGTACTGCTGCTGCTGCTGTCATCCACCCTCGCCGCGGACCGTCGGAGGTGAAACGCCGCAAACCCGAGAACAGCGTCCATAAGAGTATGGTCTGTCACGGCGAGATCCGTGATCCAGCTCGACCAACTTTGCTGGTCAGTCGAGGGGTACGAGGCCGTCATGGCCAGGTAGTGCCGGAAGAAGCGCGATTTCATGCCGTCGGTCATGGTGTCTACTAATACTGGAGGACTACTCGGCCGTACGAGAGTCAGGGATGTTAATGATAATGCTGTGGAGGAGGACGACGATGCAGACGATGCCGACGATATTAATGATGATGATGATGATGATGACGACGATGATAATATGAAGGGTGGCGCCGGCGGACAAGAAGTGGGTTTCAGACTGAAGCGGGATTGTAAATCGATGAAATCACACCGCAGGTTCGCCTTTGTGCAACCTCCACAGGCGGGCCGGACCTCATCGCACTTTGGTGTATGGTCAGTACTTGTACTTGCGTATAAGGTAGGTAGACATGCAAGAAGGTATGCAGTCAGGTATCAAGTGAGAAACCCGTACGACCCCCTGCACCCGGGACGGGTAGGTCGTAGGTCGGGACACGGTGATCGTAAGGTCGGGCCGCCTCGTTCAGAGCTCACCTTGATTCGCCGCGTCTTGCAGCGTCTGCAGCCGAGTCTCGACTTGTGATGGGCTCGTCTGATTCTCTCCGTCATTACAACCGGGTAAGATGTGTAGTGGATCTTACTTCGGGTGTTTGCAGCAAGTATCGGGCCTAGAATCCTTCTAGAAGTTACAAGATACACCAAACGCAAGGGCAAGCAAGCAAGAAGAAAGAACGTGGCCACCGAGATGTGCCAGTGAGGGAGGAGAGTCTGTGGGAAGATGGGAGAGCAGAAGGGGGGTCGTCGCTCAGATGCCGGAACGCTGCGTCGATGCTTTGACCCGGTTCCGGCCAATGAGAGGCGCCGGAATACGGTCTTGGATAGATCTTGGGTCTAGTAGCGACATCCCATCTCAATCAAACTCTATCCCTACCGCCGATCTACACCTACGTACCTGACTTTACGTATAGGTAAATGACTTTCATGTCAGGCTTTGCTGTGGTTTGGTGATCATAAGTAAGCCAGACACGTCCGTTATTCGCCTTGGGGCTGCTCTCTCACTTGCTGCTCATTTTTACCTACTGCAGTGCGTGTACCAGAAGCTGTGAGATCATCCAACATACCTATGAAGAAACTCATCAGCTTTTTGCCGTATGCAAGTGGCTGTCTCACTGAACATATCTGATATATCACATCTTACGAGGCTCAAGTTCCTTCATATCGTTCCCATTAAAGTAGGCCGTGTGTCGTCCTGTTCTCGATATATGCCTATAGGAAGTCGCCTGCACATCAAAACGTAAAGAAAAGTGAAGGGGTGGTTCCGCGAATCAGCCACCAATCCGTGGTGTGTGTATATCGTCCAATGACGGAGCCAGTCCGCGGACATCAACCCGAGGTATCTTGTTTTCCTGCCATTTCTCCCGTCATCCAATTCTTCGTCCCCAAGCTCACATTCTTCTCATAGAGCCATATGCTGTCAGACACAATGCGATCCGACAAAGAATCTGATCGCTTTGCTTCACGACCGCCTCGCATGTTGGCAAACAGACCTTTAAGAGTCTCTTTGCGCAGACAGTTGAGTCCCGAAGGAGCGTGAGATCCACCAAGAATATTCGTTGCTGCTGTAAGGAGACTCGTGTCTGCATCATGCTTTTCGTTGTGGGGTGCCGTGACCTTCACACATGGTGCAGCATTACGACGAGGCTATCGCCGCAATGCTGGACCACTCCACAGTCCTTTGCTCGTCTCCACGACCTTGTTCTGCTCACTGCCTGGCCGCAAACTTGCTGGGACACTGCTGGGTGCCGGGCCTGCATCGGACATGACCACATCATTCTGGCTGCTATCGGCTTCGGGTTGCGTTCCATAGCCTGAGTCCTTGTGGGCCCCGTTGCCGAGGCTGATGGCGCTATCGTCCTTCCTTGCGTTTTGCTGGGTCTTGAGTGCGGCAGCACCACGTCCGGGCTCTTTCGACTTGGCCCCGTCCATCAGATTGCTCTGGCCCTCGCGAAGCTTGTTGATGGCACGAACTGTATCAATTGCAGCATGCAGCGTCCTACGAGCATTGAAGTTCTTCTTGACAGTGGGCAGCAAGTTCTGGCCTTCGCCCTCGCCGTTGTTGAGGTAGCCGGCAACGAAGGGGTGTTGCAGGGCTTCGTGCGCCGTCATGCGCTTGTTCGGGTCAATAGTGAGGCAGCGACGAATGAAATCCTTGGCGTGATCGGAAACACCCCGCCAGTAGTCGAAGGGGGTGAAGCTGTAGTCGGCGTTCAAGATAGCTTGCATCTCCTCAAAATCGCTATCGCGGTCGAATGGCGTGTAACCGCACAGAAGGAAGTAGGTGATGACACCGAGCGCCCATACATCTACAGGCTTGCCGTGACCAATCTTCTTGAAGATCTCGGGGGCCATGTAGCCAGGGGTACCGCATGTCGTGGTCAGCACGTGGAACTGCTCCTCATCCATAATGCGGCTCAGTCCGAAATCGGCAATCAGGAGATCTGCATTGTCTTCTGGTGTACGGAACAGGAGGTTCTCGGGCTTCAGATCGCGGTGGACGATGCCATGGTCGTGCAGATAAGCAACGGCGGAGAGCGTCGCCCGAATAAGATCTGCGGCATCGGATTCGTAGTATGAGCCTTTGCGGCAGATGCGGTCGAAGAGCTCGCCGCCGAGAGCCAGGTCGGTCACGAGGTAGAGGTTGTTCATCGTCTCAAAGTAGTCGACAAGTGTAAGGATGTTCTGGTGGCCCATGGAGACCTTCTTCAGGACTGCGATTTCATTGCGGACCTGTAAGAGGGGTTGTGTCAGTTTCTTGGTCAAGGATGCAGAGGAAGGCAGTCGAAGGCGTACCATGTGCTCTCGGCCGGCCATCAATCGCTTGTTGATGACTTTTGCGGCATAGTAGCGACCGGTGTCAATGTGAACGCACTCCTTGACGACGGAGTAGGAACCGGCACCAAGCGTCTTGCCAACCTTGTACCTGCAGGGCTGGACCTGAGGTGACGGAGATGCTCCGTTGGCGCCGTTGGAAGCCATTGCTGCGGCCAACAGACAATGTGATGAGAGTGCTGGAGGGGGGAAAGAATCGAGGCCACGAGCGTCGCCCAACGATCGAAGAGGGCCAGGCGATAGCTCGGGAGATAAAGGTCGGTCGGTCGGGGTTGCGGTCGCGAGATCAAAGATGTTGGCGGGGTAAGCAGATGGCGAAGATCGGTCAGCGGTTTTTTGGGGGCGGTTAGCCTCACTCGACGAAGCTAGCACCAATACAACGGGCTGGTTCGACAATGGTAGGGCGAGTGAGACAAGCAGCAAAATTGTCTTGATAAAGAATTTGTCTCCGTATCCAAGTCGCAGGAAGAGAGAATTCGAGGCTCGAGGTGGAAGTCTGAGAACAATCTGGCCAAGATTGCTCAAAGGAGCGAGCAGCTGACAAAGTGGGCACGGCAGGTGTTTGGCTGGATTATTGGGCTGATTTGATGATCGACGGTCCCTGGTCGTGTTGACTGCCCCTTGAGAGGGTCTCGCGGGGCCAGTGTGAATTGGACGCAAGGATCAAATCGGCACACAGCAGATAGATGAAGGGGGTGGTGTGCTGTCACTATGACGCTATGTCGCAGATCAATTTGACGGGCGTCGAGCACGCGATGTTTGGTGGAAAGAAGAGACGGTGTTTGGAGAATTTGGAAACCAAAAAACGACGATGGGAGGAAGTGGGAGTGAAGAGAAAGAGAAGGATTCGAGGTTGCGGAGATACATAGACTGGATGGGAATGGAAGAGACGAACAAGTGGACCACACGCCGCTACACCAAAGATAGTGGCCATGTATAGGCATTAGGGGCACTTTAGCATCTAAGCACCATATGCGCCAGGTCGTTCAGCTCGAGACATCAGGGACCCTCATTCTCTCTTGAACATGGATAGTCCCGCAACTTGGAGACAGCTCACTGACAATATTCCCAGCACAGGAGCTCCGGCTCTTGTTCTGACCACTGATCGTCTGAGGATCGCCCTCGCTTTGTCGAGGAACCCCCCCTTGGACCCCTTCATACGTGTATTTCTTTCCACGACGATTTACTATGTATTGCTAATAATGAAGCGACCCATTCAGGATGGGGGTGCTGGATGGATGCTGACGGCCTGACGAGGCGGCCCGGGCCCAGCCATGAGAACTGGTGTCCCCACCCCAGCTGACAACTGCTCGGTGGGTGCGTTCTAGCTTCTATTTGGTACATACTCAAAACGGCCCCCAACCAGTCCGTCAGCTGCCCGTCTTCATATCAGATTTCCTCTCGATAGGTATACCAGCCTTATTCGAGTCCTAGGACAAGATCATGGGAAAGCTCTGGTCTGAGGCTGACCTGCAAACGGTTCAGATGTCTGGCCGGAGCAGCCACCACCACTCTTTGATCTGCTTCTGAGCGAGTCTTGCATCTAATATTTACATCCCCGTATGAAAAACGTACACATATTCATGCATCTACCCATGTCTAACACAGACGACGCAGGTTTCTCTGCCGTCTTGAATAGCAAGCATTCCGTCCTTGGCACATGCTATTGAAATGCCGTTTTCTGAGTCAAAGTTCAGGGTCCAGGCCTGAACCCCTCTTGTTTGCCAGCCGGCCGTTCTTTGGTGCTTGGCCAGCTCTGGACCCTACCCCACACCAATATCTTCTCTCCTCCGTAGTTCGACCGGCTGGCGGCCTGGTGTTTGTATGTCTCGGTTCCGCCAACTTTGTTAGCTGGGCAGAAAAAGCAGCTGGGCGGGCTTGGTGCCACGACTCAGCAACACCCGCCAGGTTAGAATCCATCATCGCCTTTTCTTGCTGGGCCGAAAATCAGGTGTCGGCACTTTGGACATTTCCTAACCTGCTCAGTCAAAAGAACGTCGATTCTGCTTCTTGGTGCTCATTTGTTTTTTCTGCCTCAGTCGTCCCTCATTGAATGATTTTGCTCTACATGCCCTGTTAGCACCTTCAGGTGCATTGGTGTATAAAAAGACAACTCACATCTCAGCATGTTTCTTCTTCTTGTCAGAACTTGTTTCGCCAGGGACTGTCTCTTGATATATCCTCTTGATCTCGTCGATGAGCTTTTGCTGGTTTTCCTCCGAGTTGGCATCTCTCTGGCGGTGCGTTTGAGCTTGGAATGTCAGAGAATCAGATCTAGCTGTGTAATATTTTGATGCCCTGATGCCTTGGTGTAGCAATTTGGGCAAGACTGGTAAGATGTCCTTGATAGGCCAAACCGTGACCGCTTTGCTCTCCGTTCTATCATGACATTAGCAAAAATGCAAGCCAGAGGTTAGAGATACCGTCATATCCAGTATATATGCGAGGAGCCTACTTGTTGACATGCTGACCACCCGGGCCACTGGATCGGGCATAAGTCGTTTGCCCCTTGGGGAGTTGGCTACCGTTGAAGGACTTGTGCCATGATCTTGCCTTTTCCAACTCTTCAGGATCAAAATCCGCCTCGAATGCTTGGAAGCGAGCCCAGCGGACAAGCTCCAGGGGTCGAATGAAAGGGCTTCCCAATGTTGGACGGACAGATTGATATAGACTTGTCGCAAACTTCATTGTGGCGGTTGGGTTGATCAAAGGAAGACGTCAAATTGATCGAGACTGAAGTTCAGACAAAAAGCCATCTGACTGGCGACAAGATGAGAAAATGGATTGGATTCCGGGTTACAAGGTAGGTAAATCTTTGCAGAACTGACCAGTCTGCACCAGACAGTAGTCATCATCATTAATTGATAGACCAAGTTGGTGGACCTGGACTTTTCCTGAGTATTGATGTACCGTGTTTGAGAGATGCTAAACTGTGAGATAGACACGGTATCCGTATTTGGCTAAGCGCAATGGAGCTGCCAGATGAAGCTAGCGTCGGGCTGTGGGCTTCCAACCGTTTTTCCCACGGTGACATTGGTCAGGCCTCATTCCGTCCAGCGGGATCGGCCAGCCTTGCGGAGAACAGAGCTCTGGCAGCGGGTGGGATGGCACCTTGCCTACCTGAGGTTGTTTCCTTCCACCTGCAGTCCTTCACACAGCGATTTTTTCGACTTTTCCTCCCACGCGGCCCTCTAGGCTCCACCACGTCGTTCGTACCTGAGCTTTTTAACCTTTTTTCCCTTTCCACCGCACATACTTTCACGCGACACCGCCGCAGCAGCCACCAACCACATCTCGGTGCTCATGGCCTCAAGGTTCAACGTTCCTCCTGCATCCTCTCTCACCTCGCCTTTCTCCTACTGCTGAATCGACACCCTCCCGACCTCTCCAGCCCAGCACCAGAGGAAAATAAACTCCCGTCTCAGAGATTTCTGACTCCTCCGAGTTGCCTCTTCCATCTGCTGTCACAACGCACTCACTCACCCATTCATACCTTACTCGGTACTCATTCCGCCGCCCAACCCCATCGGAGATTCCCCCGTGCCTGCAGCCTCTTTGCTTTTGCGCCTGCTTCCTTCCTTCCATTCCCACCCCGCCTTCCTGCCACTCTGGGTATCTGCTCTTGCCCTCTCATTTGGACCCCCAAACAAACCAACCAACCCAGCCGTGCTTGCCTTGCCTCGCGCTTGCCTTGGCCCCTAAGTACATGACGGCATTGCTGCGGCTCGACTGAATTTGCTAAAAACAAGGCGCCCGGTTGCCTCGTTCGTCGCTTCCACTCCATTGACATAAAGCCCATTCTTTAACCTGTCCGCCCACAAGCTTGCCTCGTCAACCTCACACAAGCTTCTTCTGCCCGTTTCGCGCAAGCCTTGCCATCTTCGACATCAGCAAGCTTCCACAGCTGTCGTCACATCGCCCACTCGCATCTTCAGGTCACTATCAACAACAATACTACTTATTACCGCCATCCAGTGCGCCAACAACTCCAATAGCTTGAATGCCCGAACCGGAGGCCACCCCCGAGTTCCAGGCTACTGCCGCCGACCTCTCGCCCTACTGTCCATCTCCCCTCCACTCCGCCGCTCCAGCCGTTGTACCTGCTCTCCAGGATACTGCTGATATCCTTGATGCAATGACCGCCCACACTAATGGAGTCGCTCAAGGCGACCTAGAAGCACCTGCACATGCACCAATTTCGACCGAGTCGTATGCGCAAGCTGCCGCGGACAACGCAGACGCCGAAGACGACGTCGACAGTCTGGACGATGCCTACGGCGAGGAAGAGGAGACACACACGGACAAGGTTCAGGAACAGCAGGTGGAGCCAGATGCCGGCGAGGATGATTATCTCAAGATCTTCGACTCTCCTCCTCGGGACGCGGATCAAGATGGCGCGGAAGAGGATGATGTATCAAAGGCACCAGAATCCATTCACAATTCCGCCGCTCCTGATTCTTTGACAAGCCCTTCGCAAGTGGCCCCCTCCACCGTCGCTGCCGCTGATTCCTCGTCGGCCACTGCTACTGCTGCAGAACACTCAGCCAAATCCGCGCCTTCCCAACCAGCTGCCGCCCACCGAGGAGCTGATTCAAGCGCGCCTCATTCGACTGCCAACGGCGCCTCCTTCAACGCACGCAATGACAATGCTCCCGAGGATGACCCCGCCGTTGATATCTCTCGCCTTGTTGCTGAGATGACAGGCCAGGCGAGCGAGTCCAGCAACAACCAATCTCCCACTGGCTCTACTCAGAACCATGATGCTCAGCCATCGTCCAACTTGACCTCGTCTGCGTCTGCCACTCTTCCTCCCAGACCTCCGTTGCCTCAACAGGCGGCTCCCACATATCCATCTGAAGACTATCGAGGCTTCCCTCCTCAGACCGCTGCTTCTCATGTCTCTTCCAACATGATTGCTCCGCCCACGTCAGGTCAACCATCTGCTTACGTAGCTACGGGTGCTCCCGGTGCCCCTAGTACCGCATCCGACGTCTATGGCAGCCTCCCACCTCCACCCGCCAACGGTTTGAACGCGGCCATGCCCATCACTTCAATGAACGCGCCTCCCTATCCCATCCCTGGCGGCTACCCGGCCGGCCCGACGGACGATACTGCTGACCGCCAGAAGCTTTGGGACACTTTCGTAAACGACGAGCGCCGTTACATGGCTGATGCCAAATGGGATAAATTCCCCGATGGCTCACGCATCTTCATTGGTTCGCGCTCTCTCTCATCAGGCAGACCCGACGGCGCCATTGACTTCTTTTCAGGCAACCTGTCGAGCGAACGCGTTTCCAAGCGGGATGTCTTTGATATCTTCCACAGCTACGGCCGTCTCGCCCAGATCTCACTCAAGTCCGCCTATGGCTTCGTCCAATATCACAACCTCGAAGATGCCCAAGCTGCCATGGACAACCTGCAGGGCAGCGAAATCAAGGGTCGCAAGATTCGTAAGTAGTCTTTAACAACATGCACCGAGAGGGCCTTGCTCACTTTTACTAGATCTGGAAATCTCACGCGCCCAAAAGAAAAAGGACGGCAACGAGAGGAACCGCTCGCCAGACCGTGGCGGTCGTGGAGGCCGACAGTCAGGACGTCAAGATCGTCATGACGGAGCCAACTCACACCATGACAACCGTCGTAACCGCGATGATTACAGGCCGGGACGTAACAGCCCTCCCCGACGTGGCCATGGCCGTGAGGATAGTCACGGTCGGGATCGTTACCAGCAGGACTCTCATGACCACTCCCGCGGTCGTTCGCGGTCCCCGCAGGGATATGGCCGCCACAACGATGGATACCGCCGGCGTAGCCCCAGCCCGCCTGCGGCTTATGGTCGTCCTTCTGCAGCCGACGACCGCCTCGACATTCCTCGCCGCTACGGCAATCAGGTTCCTGACGTTCAATTCTTGCTCCTCCAGGATCTTAGCCGCGACTTCATAACCTGGGTTCAGCGCGGTTTCACCGATCGCGGCCTGAAGGTTGACGTCATGTTCCTCCACCCAAGTTTCCCTCGTGAGGCTATTGTCCAACGCCAAGTCATCGAAGGCGTACACGCCATTGTCGATCTCGACATACAGGCACAGAACATGGGTAAGATCCCGCTCCGAGTCTTTGACCGCTCCGGAGGCGTCAGTGCCCGATACGACGATTACCGAGACATCGATCCGCCGATCGCGGCAGAGCTCGTCCTCCGGGCCAAGTCACAAGCTGTGCCGGCGGCACCTTATCAGAGTGCCCCGCCTCCCCAGCCTCAGTACCCGGGCTACGGACAGCCTTATGGAGGGCAGCCCGTACATCCTCAGGCACCTGCTTACCACGGAGGCCAGGGGCCGCCACGGGGGCCTCCTGTCCAACAACCTCAACCACCAGCGGGAGTGCCAGCCGACCTCGCCAGCATGATGAGTGGTATTGATAATGCGACCTTGCAACGGTTGTTGGTTAGTTTGAACCCACAGGGTGGACCGGCGGCTGTCAACAATGCTGCCGGAGCTGCAAACGCCCAGCTGCAAGCCCTTATGGGTGGTCTTCAGCAAGCGCCGCCTGCGGCACCAACGCAGCCTGCCTCGTATGGCGGACAGGCCTTTGCTCCGAATGGCGCCCCACCCCCGAATGGCCCGAACGGCCACCCTCCTGCAACTGGCACCGGTGATTCCGCAGTGCAGGTTCAGAATATCATGGCACAGCTTGCCAGATATCGGCAGTAAGGTGTGCGATATGGGAGCTCATTTCACTGGCGCTTGATGAAGATATGATGTGGAAGGGGCTTGCTTATTTGTTACCTGGCGTTAGGGGTATGCAGTCCCGTGAGGAGGCTGCTCAAAAGGGTGGGAAAACTGTGCTTTTCTTATAGATTTGCAGAAGCCATGTCCAACAGGGCGGGTTGCTGTAACCCAGGCGTTCACTATTACATAAATACAGTAGTTGAAAATAGGTTTGTTTCTTCAAAGTTGAAACACAGTTTTAAAGTCCAAAATGCGAGGAATCTACAGCTTCTGAGAGGGCTTGTTCAGGAAAGCCGTGCACTCAATCTCGACATCGGTGCCCAGCGGTAGCTGGTATACTGCAACACACGTGCGGGCCTTTTCATTTATAGTATCAGCACGCATTCTCTCATTTCCTTGATCGCCACGACCTGCCAGGAACGACGAGCAAAGTCAGTTCTAGACATGGATGAGAGAGAAACTCACAGGCTTGGGATCAAACGTGAAGAACTCGTCATACGCCTCGTTCATGGTGGCGAAATCGGACATCTGCGTAATGTAGACGTTGACCTTGACGACGTTGTGGAGGGAGCTGCCGGACGCCTCGAGGACGGCGGTCAGGTTCTTGAGGGCCTGGCGGGTGCGGTCTTTGACCGTGCCCTCGGCCTGGACCATGCCTGGCTTGTCGGGGAGGATGCCGATGTTGCCGGAGCAGTAGACCATGCCGTTGTATTTCACGGCTTGGGAGAATTGGGGGAGGGGCGCTGGGGCGGCGGTTGTGAGGACTTTTTCGATTTGGTCGGACATTTTGGTGGTGTTGGTTGTGGTGGTGGTATATGAGGTGGGTGGTGATTTGGGAGGGCAATATTTAGGGAGGAAGATGAGACTGGATTCTTTTGGAGTTTCCGGTGATTTCATAAGATGAGAATGATTGATAACTGAAATTGTGTGCTGGATCAATCGATATAAGATGGACTGAGGTGAGGTGGTGAAGATGATTAATCCAATCGTCAAACGGTAGGAGATTACACCGGCGCGGGGTCGGAGGTGGGAAGTGGATCCTTCGTCACCGGCGGGTTGGTGGGGTTTTGTTAGCGGGCATGTACAGATAGGGCGCGCAGAAAACGGAAGGGCGCGGATGATGGATCTCTTTTGTGCTTTTGCATGCATGGAATACTCAGTGGATGAGGCTCTTTTTGACTTTGAGGGAGCTTTTGCTGAGAGGCTAATGAATGTTACTTGGGCCCTTGGGTATCTGAACTGGAACAAGTTGATTGCATCACGCGTGGGATTTGGATTGGGTCTGGGGAAAGTTAGTTTCGCCTTGTCGCCTTGTATTCGTTGGCGAGTCCGGCGTTTTCATTTCATGATTGAGATCTGAACTTGGTTCGTGCGATGTTTTTGTCCTGCAGCTATAGATGATTCCATAAACACTTGCTGATTACAAAGTCTTGGGATGCGAGTGTATCCTGAGCTCGAGTCTGCCGATAGAAAGCGCCTGGCCCACTTTGGCGGGGTTGACGGAGGACTTCGCCGCGGGACGGTGATGGCGGGGTAATTTTGGCCGGCCGAAGCCGGCGCAATCCTCCGGGGAGGGTGAGACGTCGGTCTTGCGACGTCTTTTAAGCACTCAGATGAGAGCCGCGAATGGCTCGCAGAGACGCAGAAAAGCTACTCAAATTGAAATTTGTATCCTAACGCCTTGTGTGATAATGATAATCAAGTAAACACTGCGTGCCCAACCCAAAGACACAAGAAATGATTCGCACCAGAGCTTGAAGGAAACCTCTGATACCGCTGGAGGACAAACAAGTTAACCCTCATGAAACGACACCTTTTCGTTCTATTGCTTCCCTTAGAAAGTCTACCATGTCATCATACCCCCGCAGAACAGCCATGTCCAGTAAACTTTCGCCATTGGGGCCTGGTGCCGTGACATCAGCACCTTTATCAAGAAGAGACCGAACTGTAGCTCTGAACTCTCCTATCTCCCCATCGCGCCACCATGATTTCCACGACGAAACAGCCTCAAATAGTGGCGTTTGTCCTTTGTTATCCTTTGCATTGGGGTCGGCCCCATGTCGAAGTAGAAACTTGACGGCTGGAAAATCCGAAATTCCAGCAGCATTCATAAGGGGCGTTCGTCCCTCGTAGTCCCGGCCGTCGATTTCAAGCCCCTTACCAACGGCTCCCTCCACATAGTCAAGATATTCAGAGCGTGGCCCAATCTGACATGCCTTGTGGAGAAAGTTCTGGCCCAAATTATCTTGATGAGTTGGATCCAGACCTGCATTTAAGAGGTCCTCCAGAACTTTACTGTAGGCCACGAAGAGAGCGGTCTGTCCGAGCTTGTTCACCATGTGCCTTAAATCTGGAGGCCCACCATCGGATTGTTGTTGTGACTCTTTATGAGAGGACATGGATCCAGCATTAGTAATGTGGTGTGTGGGAATGCTGTGGCTCAATAGTAGTTTCACAATGTCGACATGGTCATTTAATGCTGCAGCGATCAACGGAGTATTCCCCGCGTCGTTTTGCGCATAAACATTCGCACCTTCTGCAAGTAGAAGCGCTACCATTTCTGGTTTACCATTCCATCCGCAAGCGGTGTAGATAGGTGTCTTCCCAGATGCGTCTCGAGCTTCCAAATCACACCCTCTCTGAATTAATAGTCGAATGATCGCTTCGTTTTTCATTCCGCCATTGACTGCCAAATGGATTGGCTTTGGCTTTGACACCATTCCGTTTGGAGTACCATCGAGATTTGCTCCTTTTTCGAGAAGGAGTTCGACGAAAAGTCCATCGTTTCTGCGGATTGCTATCTCTAGAGGTGTAGAGCCGGAAAGTTTGTCGTCGGCGTTGGCGCCATTCTCAAGCAAAATTCGCCCAACGCCTATGATCCCGTTTGTCACAGCCATTTCGAAGGCTGCTTCGACATCTCTGTATTTTTTTATCGATGGTGATGATGGTAGAGTCGGATGGGCCGTGCCACTTGCTTGCAACATCGACCGCCGGTTAAGAATCAGCCTCACGAGTGCTTCTCGCCCCTTCAAGGCAGCGCGAACCAGAGGGCTATAAGAGATGTCCTTTGGTATGAGGTTAGGTTGCGCGCCCAAGTTGAATAGCATTTCGGCGATGTCGATTTGCCCTCTTTCTGCAGCAAAGTAGAGGGGCGTGCGTCCTTCTTTGTCTGTGCAGTCGATGCTGGGGTGGACTTGGCTGCTCGTCTCGGATTCCGGGGTATTGCATGATGTGGACGCAATTTCTCTTGCAGAGCTTGCAATATGTTCCAGCAAAAATCTTGCTACGTCGTCATGGCCTTCTTTCAGAGCCGCAAGGACTGGGTAGCCATGGCGGCCTCCACGTACTTCAGCATCCGGGTCATGTTGAAGCGCTGTCTCAACCAGCCTCGTTAAACCCCTTTCCGCAACGATATACAAGAGGTTCGTAGCACCATGCTTCTGCTTTCTAGTTTTATGCTTTTCGAAAATATTGCTTCTCTGGATCCATTGTTTTAAGGGAAAGTATTGGAGAAACTCGGTCTGTGGGACGGTCCGGGCAGCAGCATTGGCGTGGTAGAGTACATGGCTGGTTGCATACTTTAGGAAGGGGAAGCCACGGTCGATTACGGCTTGGAAATCGATAGATTCCTTTTTGGATGTAAGGAGTAAAAAGTCGTCATCGTGCAAGTGTTTAGAGATGTTGACTTGAGTCGAGTATTCATGGCAGCAGTCCCGTAAACGATTGTGGCTTTGGGCCTCGAAATCAGTGCCCATCTCTGGCCAGAGAGTACGCAGCCCATTGTCTTTGATAAGAAAGTCACGTACGGATTCGTGAATGAATTGGACAGTCTTATCATCGGACCTCGTTGTTTCAGCCAGTCCCTTAGACGAACTGACAATCAGACGATCCATGAATTCAAATGGGATCTCATTGGGATCCCACTCTCCCAGCGTGTCGGGCTCCAAGCCGGAGGCCAAGGCGAAATAGTATTCTTCGCGTTTTAGAGGTCGTGTACCGTAGAGAATCCATTGAATACATAGAAGCAAATCGTCGAGATTCTCTTTGTCTCTGGTTAACATGTTTTGGAAGAGCTCACTTAATTTGGACGGGATCTCCTCTAAGCGGCTCTTGATTTTAAACACGCGACCCCGTTCATACTCTCTGTTCAGTATGTCGATAACGAGAACGATCCACATAAAGACACCAGAGGCTTTCCGAAGGATCTCGGCTATGACTTCCTCGCTCCTGGATCCGCTACCAGCCTTAAGACTCGTGTGAACATACTCTGCGAGGTCCTTCTCATGACCAGTTTGGTCTTCTAGGATGAGCTTTTGGCCGTATTGGATATCGATGTATGGGTAATGTCGACTAGAAAGGCAAACATAGAATCGGATGTCGCGCTGAACCGCATATTGTCCTAGGTCTTCAAAGACCTTGACCATGTCTCGAACTTCCTCCTCGGCGCACTCGTCGAGGGCGTCAATGAAACAAGTAAGTTGCCGTTGTCCGAGTTTCCGGACGGCGCTGCGGAAGAGAGTCTTGGTCTTTTCTAAATCCCACTGTGCGATTTCTTGGGGTCCGTCGTTCGTGTCGAGCAAAACCTGTAGATCGGGCATTTTCTCCAAAAGCTGATGTGAGAGTGACCGATACATTCCCAGCGTCGACTTCTCGAGCCCTTCGCCTCTGGCGTTAAAAAAGAATGAAATGGAAGGTCCGATCGATGCGGCTCTTCTCCTCGCTCGGGTGAAGGCGAATTTCATGATCGTTGACTTTCCTGCCCCCGGTTTCCCCCTGATCCAGAGAAAGCCGTGATGCTGAGAGTACATCTTACGGTCTATCCAGGTGGTATAGTCAGGATGTTCGAGAAGCCACTCGCAGGTTTTGGCATGGTTGTCCTTGATATTGGCGTGCCGCTTGTCAATCTGATCAAACTTGAGTGAGTCCAGAAGCCTCTTGCGATCTGACGATGGTGTTGCTGTGGGACATCGTAAGCAGACATTACCTTGGTGCGAGGAGAGCGTCATTGACTTACCAACAATCTGAACTTCAGGCCGCATTCGAGCAGTGGAGTTTCTTTGAGGTGGCGTGATGAGAAGAAGCTCCTTTGCGTAGGCTGCGGCGGTAGCAGCGGCATATTTCTGCCATCGCTTTGCTTTGTGGGAATCCGAATAATCACAGATGCCGCGAATGACAAGGCATGGAAAATTGTCCATCAGCCCTGCAGCTTCCATCTCAAAGCATATCGATCCAAGTTCTTTCGCCAATCGGTCCCTCGTTTTCGCATGTTTCATAACCTGATTCCCAGAGGCAATGATTCCGTAATGGATACTCGGGTTGCGCGTTGGCCGTAGACCGCGTGATATAAGCCTCGACCTATCGCAATTGTCGCAAGTTTCCCCGGAATGTTCATATGATGCTTCAAACAGTCGGTCTTCGTCCACGTTTCGATACGAGAACTCTCTCATTTCAGGGTTGCGGGTTTCCATGTCGACCAAAATCGCCGGGATTTGACTTTTTCGGCCTTCGTGGTTGGCTCGTAGTTTAGAGACAGCCGCAAGGACTGATTGGGGAGGTTTGTTTAGACTCCCAATGCGTTCGAAGCGACCCTCGTTTACAGCCTTGCCGAAATCATATTGTACGACCCCCGAGGAATCTCCTGTCGGATTGCTGACCACAACATCACCAAGCCGTATGTCAACCTTTCCGGGAACACCGCCGCCTATCCCAACCATCAAACCAATGTTTATGGAAGGGAAGCTCCACAGCATGTTGTTCGCCACTACCGCCGCACTGTTTGTGCCATACTGCCCCGAAGGCAAGCATGCAATGACGATGTTATGAGGGCCGATTCCGCCAAATGTATAGACATTGCTGTCGTTCGAGTTCATGTCGAGGGGTCCATGTGTGTAATCAAGCATTGCTTGTGCTGCAGCCATCTCAAGAGGAAGCGCACAAACCCAGCCCACGGTGTATGCCTCATGTGATAGCTTGACCAAGGTCTGCCCCGCGCTGTCTGGCATGCGAAGCGATCCCGTTGTTCTTGCCCGCTTTGTAAGCCCGTCACAACTCTCTTCTTCACTACTGACGCTCCGTTCCCGTTTCTCTGTGGCATATCTAGGAGCGCTCGTGGGCTGCCAACCGGTAGTTCTTTGTTGATGGTGAGCGTGATCGCTGAACATTTTGATCAGGCTCCGGGATTCGAGGGGTTTTGGCCGATGTCGTCTTCCTAATTTGCGATTGTCAGTTGCCGTGAAAACAGGTGTGTGATGAATGAGCTTGTACTTACCCGGTATGGCGATTGCGATGTGGCCGAAATCGCAGTGAGGGTCATTTCAAATCAAGTTCAAGCCAAGCCAGAGAAGTTGACGAAGAAGAAGGCTTTGCGGAAGGCAACTTGGGGCAGACGAGTCTTGCCTGCCACTGCGAAATATCTACCTGAGTCGAAGGCGGCCATCAGGCTGCGCCAACACAGCCCGTGTCGCCGCAGCAGTTTTCAGCTCCTTGCAGCGTCCAGTAGCATTTCGATCACAAGGTCCCTGCTGCATGGCCAAAAAGTGTCCAATCGGATAAACGACTGTGGTGGAAATTGCACATTGTTGGAAGATGCTAACGGAGTTCGATAACCTGTCACATTCAATATCTGCGGCACCAGGTATGGGTCTGCCTGACCACGAGTGCGGCACAGCGTGCTATGCCATTATCTCCATGACTTTGCCTGCGCCTGGTGCCGCAACCCCGCATCAGCTTTACCATCCCCAAACTCGATATCGTTGCATACAAATGCTCTCTGGGAATCTGCCCGTCGAAGTAAGTCGAAACTACCTGAGGGGCTCATAGAATGTCGGCAATACCACAGCAGAGCCGTTACGAGGGTTATTGGAATTGCTACAACCCAGTAGACCCAGAACTTTCCAGAGACGTTCCACGAGTCTGAGGCCGAGTCGTAGTCAAAAAATGAAGTGCTGAAGACGGCTGAAACGAAAGTCGCCGGCAGGAAAAGTAATGTTAGAAAAGCCACGGTTTTCATGGCCTCGCTGTCCCTCTGCGTCGCGCGACCGATGGCTACAGAAATCCGGGCGTCGGACTGAGCAACCATGTTGTATGCGAGCGAGATCTCGTTGAAATGTCGGGCCTTATTGGAAGCCGAGCGCTCTTGAAGGCTCGTGATCATCTCTTCGAAGAACTGCAACCGCTGATGCGTGTGATTCCAAGCCCGTTTCCATGCGGTGGCAGACCTGGACTGATCGTCATGGCCAAATTTGTATGCCTCGTGTTGCACTAGAATTTTCCTCGCAGCCTTGACGGCCAAATCCAATGTTTCGGAAACGTGTATAGCATGTCGTGCCGTTTCGTGTAAATGACGAAAGCCCGGTGCAGGTTTTGACGTGGCCAAGTCGGAGCCGTGGGTTATATCCCTTTGCTTCTCTGTGGTCCTGACTGTGACACGAACAGCCCATACAGCGGCATCTTGCAAAGTGACGACCTTCTCCAAGATTCCGATGTATATCCAGTAGGGGTCGAGGAAGTAGTCCGCGTTTGGAACGGCGTAAATGGGGTCGGATTCATCTTCCGGGACCCTCTCCATACAATCTGCCGCTGGTTGGACGGCGTCGAAGACGATGAGGACTGTTTGACGAGTCTTCGCCACCCAGTGCGTAATCACATTGGTTTTTGACCATTCATATCCTGTATGTCCTTCGTTCGTGAGCTTCACTGGGAATCGCGCCCATGTAGCTATTCTCCCGTCAGTCAGCGTCCTTGGCCCCAATTATCATAACTCACTAAGTCCTGCAGTATTTCCGTCCTCATCAATCTTTGTCTCGCATCCAAAGTAGCCGTTGGAATCTCTGCAGTATCGTTTCCACCAGAGATCTGGGATCATGAAGGCTTCAGCAAAGTTCTCACGGCATGCTGAACATTCGCGTATTTTCTGCGCAAAAGCATTCCTATCCACTTGTCAGCATTGAGCCGTCACCCAAGCTCTACTAAGCTTACACGATGCAGACATCGAAATCTTCCTCATCTGCTAGAAAGGATGCTGATCCCTTCTCAATGGTCGATGTAGTTGATCTCCAGTCTTGATCGCCTATTCCTTGTCAGTATGGCCAGCAGCATAAGAGGAAGTGTTTCAACCTCACCTTTCTTCCAGTACAACACTTCTAGTTGTTGGCAAGCGCACACGGGGTCCATTTTGACTCATGACATTGTAATTGGTGAAACTTATGTTACAAAATGGGGTGCGAAGTGTGAACCCTCTTATAAGACTAGATTAAAGGACTCAGCTGTGAATATTCAAGAATCGTTGTGTTGTACAGCAGGCTCTGAACGGGAGCCGCAAACCCCGCTCTAAGCGCCGATGCAGGCTGCATGACAGGGCCTCTCGATACCCTGAGTTAACCAACCAGCCATTTGAGGCAGATCTGCTGCTGGAGGTAGGCATGGTCTTGATAACTGTCCCAATCAAAGATGACTTCCCAACATATGAGCTTTGCGAGCTGTGTAATGTGACACCGAAATTCATGGCTCAGCCACCAGCCTTGCCGTCGCGAAGCGGAATGACTGGAGGAAGCCTGGAGCTAAACATTGCGGCCCGAATGCTACGGTTCTTTGGCCCGTCCGTTGTGAATGTAACAGGTTCATAAGGTGACATGCAGAAGAGAGCAGTCGGCAACAATTGCGATGCCTTCTTTATGGATCGAAGTGCAAGAGCGACGATGCTGGAGCCAGTGGAATGGAAGGTTCTTTCGGCAGGGTCCTTCCCGCCCGCCCACGAACAGCTGGGATGTTCGCTGAAATGTCACCGACGCCTGCTTGGCAATGGGGAGCACTTGCCTCCACCAGAGACGGGAACATTTGGGGGAAAGCTCAGGGGTTACCTCCTTAGCTTCTTCCTTCTGACCAATCACGACGTGGCTTACCAAGCAATCCATCGCAGCTGGTCGATACACCTATTGGAAAACGAGCCTAAGCCAACCTAAAACCGCCTCGACTGCGAGGTGAGACTTTGGACGAAGATGCCAGCTGTAAGGTGTTCGTTTTGCCGTGTGTAGTCGGTTGCTCAGGCACCCTTCTCGATATATGACAAGTGACGGGAACCTTCACCAATTCCTGCTGCAACTCCATTTCGTCTTCATTTGTGTAATTACCCGCTCGGTCCGAGCTTGCGGATTATCACAACCTTTTTCTTTCTGTCTTGCCTTTTGTATTTCTCATGTGGCACTGAGCTCCATTGTGCTTCCTTCTTGTCCAACTCTGCCTCACCATTACCCGCGTCACCCGTGAAAGGTTGATCATCATGAGTTGGCCCTACCGCTTCGTCGACCTGTCCAAGGAAGAGGTCCAGATCCGGAGACAGACCCTGGATCGTTATGGCAGCTATGCTCAGTACTCGGCACTGACGCCAATCATCATTGCTTTGCTATTCCGGCTCGGGGCGTATCTCAGTCAACGCTGGCAGTCGGGAGCTTCCTACTCTGCTGTCCCGGGCTCTCCTGAGCTGAAGACAAAGAGACAGAGCTGGAGCCACAGCTGGGATGCCACAATCAAGAAGTGGAAGTGGTGGCTGGCCGACGATGTCTACTTCATGGGGCAGCATTGGGGCCAAAAGGACCAATGGGTTTTTGGTTTGGCCTGGGCGTCATGGCTGCTGGTTCTGAGCGTGTTGGAGACGGGCGATGGTGAGTTGTGAATCCCCTCAATTGGATGTCAAACGTGATGAAACTCCAACCCCGACCCTGGAACCAACCCCCGAGAGACTCAAGTGAGCCTCGAGAAATTTATGACTTCATGCTCAAAAAACTGCCATTCAGATTGACCAAAATCACGACATGTTTCTGACTAGCTGTAGATTACCTCCATCTCACAAAACGCTTTGGCATCATCGCAGTCTCCCAGATCCCCTTTCAGTACCTGCTGGCATTGAAGAGCTTCAGCCCCATCGCCAAGGCTTTCCGCACATCTCACGAGGAGCTGAACAAATGGCACCGCGTTCTCTCCCGTGTGACGTTATCCCTTCTTGTCCTCCACGCCGTATTCTACCTGAATTTCTTCGTGGCCAAAGGCATCGTTCAGAAGCGCCTCTTTGCACCCGTTGTCTTCGCCGGTGTCGTTGCGTTTGCAACCATGAACATGATGACTTCAACAGCGGCTGCCACCGTTCGAAGGTACTCGTACCGCGTCTTCTTCATCACCCATCTTATCGGCGCTTTTGCAATTCCGGTCCTGGTCTTCTTCCACGCCAAGTCGGCTCGCCTGTTTATGGTCAAGGCTATCATCGTCTTCCTCATCGACCTTACCGTCCGTCGTCTCCGGACTGTAATGGCTCTCTCAAAGGTTGAGACCATTCCCGGCACGAATCTGATCAAAATATCCGCCTCAATCCCTCAGCACAAGATCAATGCTTTCCATACTCGCCCAGGTTCCCACATCTACCTCAGCGTACCCGCCGCGGCACGACCTGGAGCTGGCCCAACATCCCCTGATGCAATGCTCTTTGAATTTCTCTTCAACCCCTTTACCGTTGCATCCGTCGACGAGGATAACGGCAGCCTCACTCTGGTAGCTCGGCAACTTGATGGCCCGCTCACACGACATCTCGGCCGCTTCGCAAACGCGGGCACGGGCATCGAAGACGGCAAGGTCCCGCTCTGCATCGAGGGCCCGTACGGTGCCGCATCCCTCCACTTTGACAAACTCACCGGCTCCTCAGTCGACCGCTTCCTGTTGGTTGCCGGCGGCGTGGGCGCAACCTTTACCATACCAATTTACCACGCCATCCTCCAAGACAACCCCAGCGCCAAGGTCGAACTCGTCTGGTCCATCCGCGGCGCCAGCGACACAGCCTGGGCTACGGCCGCCGAAAAGTCCATCTCCAAGAGCATCATCGACGACCCCAACGTCCGCGTCTTCCTCACAGGCGATGCACTCGACTCGGACTCTACTGGTCCCATGGCCGGGCTTCCCTCCGAGACGAACGCCGAGGGCGAGATGGAGATGAGCTCGCTGCAACGTGACCGGAGGCGGAACCGCCTCACTAGCGAGAGCAGCCGTAAGCGTCCGGACTTACGCAAGATCGTTGACGAGTTCTTCAGGCAGGGGGCCGAGGAGAGGGTCGCGGTACTTGTGTGCGGGCCGGCGGAGATGGGACGGGAGGTGCGGGAGTATGTCGGCGCGTGGGTCATGAGGGGCCGGGACGTGGTGTGGCACAATGAAGCTTTTGGCTGGTGAGGGCCTGCATGTTTGTAGATTTGAATACTTTGAGTCGATAGAAGGTCATGGCCGAGGCTACTGGGTTGGCGTTTCTGTCTTGGTTATTCGTTGGCCTACACGAGAAATCATAGCCATTGTTCCATATTCTCCGTTTCTGGCCCTGGCTCAGTAGTCGTGTTCTGGTCCTCACGATGTAAGAGTGAGATATGCACAGTATGATGAGGGGAAAGAATGTCATTTTATCTATTACGAAACACGCTGCTAGGATGAAAGGCCTCCCTAAACGCCAAAAATCGTAACTCAATGCTCATCCGTCATATCGCACACGTTCTCTGGCTTCCTCCTTGCTACAGAGCTTTAATCAGCCCGCTTCTTGGAGTCGCCAATATCTCCCGTATCCATATCCTTGCTCTTGACTCCGCCGATATCACCATCGCCATCTTCCTCTTCCCAGTCATCCACCTGGTTCTCATCCCAATTGTCCACTTCCTCCTCAAGGGACCTGCCTCCACTGCTAGCACCAACACCAACGCCAGCACCCCCATCCCTCGCACCACTAGCCTCAACAACACCAGTCTCATGCCCCTCGCCAAGCTCTACATCCTCCTCGTCCTCCCCGGGGACAGCCTGGTACGTCTTGGTGCGGCGCTTGCGCTCGAGCATGCGCTTGTGGTACCACGAGCACAGGCCGATGCCCGCGAGCGAGCCGACGACGTTGGCGACGATGTCGTAGAAGTCGAACTCGCGGCCGTTGGGGAGGAAGCCCTGGAGGAACTCGGAGCCGACGCCGAGGATGAAGGTGCAGACGGTGAGGGTGAGGTTGAGGGTGCGGCGGCGGTTGGTGTCGAGGATCCAGTAGAAGACGATGGTGAGGAGGAAGAAGGTTGTGAAGTGGAGGACCTTGTCGTTTACGTATTGGCCGAGTTGGAGGGTTGTTAGGCCTGCGTAGCCCGCGACGAGGAGGAGGGCGAAGAAGACGCCTGAGGAGGAGGAGGGGAGTGTTAGCTTGGGTTTTGCGTACTTGCGTTTGCGAGCTTGAGCTGAAGTTTGAGCTCGAATGGAGATGGAGTTGAGCTTAAGCTTGGGCTGGGGCTTAGGCAGAAGCTGAAGCTGAGAGATGAAGCTACATTGTCCACTCGGCTCTGCAAGGAATCGATGAAGATCCAGAACCATGGTTGACCGTGGTCGAGACTCTTGACGTACCTGCAAAGGGCAAACGTATCCGCATTTTGAAGAGACCTGCAGGAGCTGCTGCAGATGGTGGTGTGATTGGTAGCTTGCGATGGTAGCTAAGGTAGCTAAGCCTTTGGAGTGTCTCGAAGAATTATGGGCGGTTCGAGTGATGGAGGTGTGTAAGGACGTTCAGCTACAAGCTGGTAGACGAGAGAGATGTCGAGGTTCGTGTTGTGCGTTTGCTTCTCAAAGATGAAAGGGAAACTGGCCAGGGTTGTTCGTAATGGGGTCGTCACGGACGAGGGTGAGGTGTCCAGCTGGCCGGAGCTCCCAAGCGACTGGATCGGGGTGAGCGAGGGAGAGCTTTTTTTTTGGTCCTGCTGCGGGAACGCGAAATGGAGTTCAGCCCACTGACGGAAGGAGATGTGCAGCAGTGGTGGCGCCCCCCAACCCCAGGCTTTACTGCGTAAGGTACTCCGTACGTACGGGACCTTTCTTCGAGGACAGGGGTAGGCCCCCGAGGATTTTGGAGGGGCCCGGTTTGGTCGGGTTCAGGTGGCCCGGGCGGAAGATGCCGTGGGCCGCAGTTAGGTACTGTCGCGATATGGATGTCTGGGGGTGCCAGACGCGATGCGCGCCCGTGGATGCGGATGAGGTCACTGGGGGTGGGTGGTGGGAATTGTGAGGTGCACGGGATGATGTGTAAAGGGAGCGAATTGACATGTCTGGTGGTGTTGCGGAGAGTCGCTAAAGACTTTCTGACATTTTCAACCCTCTGTAAATCACATAAGCATCACCACTTTGTTCGGCATTCAAGTACTTCCAAGTTCCTCCTCCCCTCCCAAAAACAAACTCTCTGTGTTGTGTTGCTGGCCCGTCCTGCTGGTGCGCTTTGGTGCCTGGGGTGCGCTTCGTGGCTCGTTGCTGACTGCGACTGGTTGGCTGGGCCATCACGTGACAAAAACGTACGCGATCCGATCGCTCAGCGCTGGGCCAAGGGGGGGGATTACGGTGGCCTCCGCTCGCGCCGTCGTCGGCATTGGAAGTTCATGTACCTGCATCCCGCAATCGCGGCACCCATCATCACCCCAGTGCACCTCATTTCTGGGTCCGAAAAAAAGGTAGATGAATTGATGAGCATACTGAGACCTTGACAATTCGTTTTTAAGTACATGCGACAGTCTTCGTGGTGGTCTGTGCTGCGTAACTCGTGGTCAACCAAGGTTCCCTGTACCGCTAGCAGCGGCCAACTCGCCGTCTTCAGGCAAGGGAAAAGTTCCATCGCGTACTTGCGTACGAGCCTCTCCAAATCCTCAACCTCACCTCTCGGAACCACCCAAAAGACCCCCTATTCCAATCCATCAATACACAACAACCACAATCCGTCACGTCTCCGAAACGCAAGGCTCATCTCTATCGATGTCGCTCTTTCTACTGATGCGCTCATAACGACCCTTTGCCGCCCGGACTCGGTCCCTGACGAGCGCATTTCCTTGCGCATGGCGACACGCCGCCCACCTGTCGCTATCATCAATCCGGGCTCAAAATGTCCCTCCCCAATGGCCACCACGCATGGCAGCCGCCGTCCCTCCATCATCAACCCTCCAGTCGCCTGTTCCATCAACTTGATGATGGTCCTGCGCGAAACGGAACCCCCGTCGACCATTCAATGTCCTTGATGCCTGAGGCACAACCTGATATTGAAGAGGAACGGCGACGCGCCCTGTTCAAAGATCTCTATCACAAAAGCGAGGCAAAGATCTCGCTGCTATTCGCTGACGACGGATCATACAACTATCCCGCCATCGATGCGTTGCGCCGCCCCTCGGCCCCCTCCCCCTCCACCTTACCCCCTACCACCGACCATGCGCCGATCCAAGAGCCTCCATTAAAGAAGGCCAAGCGGGTCATCGACGAAGACGACTACGGCGATGACGATGACGAGGATGAAGAAGAAGACGCGACTGCAGCCGATTCGAGTAAACCCGTGAACGGTATTGCGGCCGCCGGCGCCGGTTCGCTACTCTCCCCCTCAAAGTCCGGTAGTTCGCCCGTGCACTCCGTCAGCTCCCCCGGCAAACAGCTCGAGAAACTCAAACAGGCCGACGGATCTGGAGATACCACCAAAACGAGCGAAGATGCGCGCAAGCAGCTGGAAGAGGCGCGTAACGCGACCGAAGAAGCGGCGAGGCGGAGCTTCCATACCATATTCTATACTCTGGAAAACGATCGGACTGCTATGCTGGAACAGCAGCAGCTGGAGGAGTCCGAAAAACAATTGCAGGCCGAGATGGAAAACAACAATAACCACAGTCAGACAAATGGCGCCCAGGCCGAGAACCACGGGTCGCTCAGCAGCGCCAACTTGGGCGCGTCGAGTTTAACCCTCAAGCACTTGATTGCGAGGATAGACATGAAACGCGACCAAGTTCGCGCCTCTGATGCAGAATTGCGGTCGCTCATGAACGAAGTGCGAAAAAACCGAAGTAAATGGGCTAGCGAGGAGAATGTCAACCAAGAAGAGTTGTACGAGGCCCTCGAGAAAGTCTTGACGGAGTTGAAGGCACATACGGAATACTCAACGCCCTTTCTGCAGAGGGTGAATAAGAGGGATGCGCCGGATTACTATAACCGTAAGTTGCCTCCAGGCAGACAAGTTTGATTCGGATTGGCTAACCACCCTCGGCACAACGCAGTCATCAAGCAGCCAATGGACATGGGATCTATGACCAAGAAAATCAAGTCCCTCACGTATAAATCGAAGGCGGAGTTCGTCACCGACCTAAACCTGATATGGGACAACTGCCTGCGCTACAACCAGGATATGGGACACCCTCTGAGGCGGATGGCCAATGGCATGAGGAAAGAGGCCGAGAAGCTTATTCCTCTCATTCCGGACCTCGTTATCAGACCGCGAGCCGAGGTCGAGGCAGAAGAGCGCCGAAAACAGAACGGTGGCGAGGAAGACGGCGGTGACGACTCGGACGATGAACCGATAATGTCATCTCGCGGTCGTACTGCCGGAACCAAGGGCGCCAAGTCTCGGAAACAACCCACCGATCAGAAGGAGGGCACCCCCAGTGTTGACCAGAAACCGGTGCTACAGCTGAATGGCCTGCTGGCTAAGGGCCGAGAAGGTTCTGAAGCGGTTGATGGCAGCGGATTCGGTACGCCAATCGGTGGCTCGGCAACGCCTGGCGGCGTCAACGGACATTCGGGCATCGGAAGCAATGCTGACGCTATGGATATCGATGGGCCCACGTTGAACGGCATGGCCTTGGGGCAAGCTCTCAATGAGGCTGCAGAACAGGCCTATGAGGACGAAGAGTACAAGATCTGGAAGCAAGTGACGAAGAAGGACCGCGCACTCATCGCCAAGGAACGGTATCAGCTTTTCAAGGACAATAAGCTCAACACCGACGCTCCTGCTCTACTCCGAAATAAAGCCGGCATTCGATGGTATCTGAGGGGGCAAAAGGAAGCCGAAGCACTGGGCGTCATTGGCCAAGCCCAGGCGGACTCGTCTGCCATTGCTGCTAAAGAGGCCGCGAAGCCTGCCGAAACTCTGGCTGAGGGCATGGAAGGAGAAGAGGAAAAGATTGTACCAGCATACTACGAACCTCTGACAGTTTTACCGGACATCCAGCCAAAGCTGCAGTGGATCGAGGACGGCGAGGGCCATGTCATCAACCAGCATGAGGAATATCTTCGAATGATCCCCGAAGGCCACTTCAAGGCGCCTAAGAGCAAGTTTGCCAGCAAGATCGACAGCAACATCCATCAGATCCAGGAGACGAGGAAACTATCGAGCAAGATCGGCGTGATTAAGCAGATGCAGATCCAGACTCAGGTATATACAGGCGTCGCCGGCGGGTGTATCAGTGTTCTAACGCATGTGTTCTAGGTTTATAATAACCAGTTTCCCAAGTCCAACTACGAATCTTTCGTGGAGCAAGATGCCGAGCCATCCTTCATTGCAGATGATGGCCCAGTCATTGCGCCAGAGACTTGCCGTAGTGCCCTCCAGCGCTCCGTAGCCAAGATTCTCTACCACACCGGTTTCGAGGAGCTTCAGCCCTCTGCTATTGACACCATGACGAGCTTAGCATCTGACTACTTCGAGAAGATCATCAAGACCTTCAATGTGTATCGCGAGGCAGAGAAGATCGAAGCACCGGTATCCCGTGCCGAAGGAAGCTCTCGATTCCAGTCTCGCTTCACTCCCGAGGAAATCATCTTGCACACGCTCGATGAAAACGGTTGCGACCTGCTTAGTCTGGAGTCTTACGCCAAGGACGAAGTCGACAGACTCAGCACGAAGCTTGGCGGCATCCACGAACGTATGAAGTTCCATTTGACCGAGCTTTTGCGGCCTGCCCTTACCCAGGAAGCCGGACAAGATGGTGTTGGTGCCTTCAAAGACGGCAGCGAGCAGTTCGTTAGTGGTGACTTTGCTGAGGATCTCGGCGAAGACTTCTTTGGTTTCAAGGCCCTTGGTCTGGACAAGGAGATGGGCTTGGATATGCTCTCGGTTCCTCTTCACTTGCTTCAGTCCCGTGTTCGCAACCAATTCCAGATGCAGACACAGACGGTTGGCGCGGAGGTCACCGACCTCTTCGAATCCTTGCCGCCTGTTGAGCCCATTACGACGGAGAACATCCACGGCCAGATTGGTCTCGTCAAGAACTTCTTCCTGGCTAAGCTACACGCTAACGGCGATACGCCCTTGATCGAGGACGAGGAGCTTCCTGTTAAGCAGAGGCGGCCCAGACCCCGTCTTGGCGCATCTGGAAAGATTGTCTCACCGCAGAAGAGGCCGCCCAAGGAGCAGATTGCCCTCGCTAAGAAGAAGAAGAAAATGGAATTGGCGGCGCAAGCCAACAAGGATGCCAATGCTTCTCCAGAGAAGAAGGGCGAGACTACACCGGCAAAGAAGGTCAAGCACGCAAATATCAATGGCACCGGACCCAATCCAGCGGCGATCGCGTTGCCTCCAAGCATGGAGCGGAACGAGAGCATGCAAAGCCAGGGCAACGCCAGTCAGACCGATAAGGACGAGCCCATGGGCATGATGAGTCCCGAGAGTATCGAGAGATGAGACACAAGGACATCATGAGACTTGCGATTTCTCACACCTATATATACCCATTTTCCGTACACAAACATGGTGACTTATTGGCGATCCTGCCACCGAGTCCCGAGTGGAACCGGGTTTCCAACACCACCCTTTCAGAAGTATGTCGCGGATGCCATCGAGACGGCTTTGGATTTATCAGAAGCAGTCTCTTTGCAACCTCCCCAATCCTCAGACATTGCTTGGCATCGTACACCTCTCCAATATACGTGTTTATGCACACTCCCTTTTTCATTTCATCAAACATCCATCGGCGTTGAGGTTGGATCGTCGTTTCATTGTTCAGGAAGGGAAGATATAATGCTGCACAAAGAAAAAAACCCGAAATACAGATCTCGGCGCGGCTATCACTAAGAAGACAGGGATACCCAAAAGCCAATAAATTGGCCGTCATTCAGGGAGGGAATCATTATCAGAGAAGAGACCGAAGAGGTACGGTTTGGTTTCTTGTCGTTTTTCAACAGTGAAAGGGTGGATTCGAAGATCTTCTTGTCCGTTGGCGGTACTGCAGCGCGGAAGATATTCCGCCACGGACTAGAGAAGGGCGGGGGAGGTTTATTTGGTTAACGAACTTTTTTTGTTTTTATCCATCTCGTATAGTACAGACGGGATCGTCACCCTTCATGATGGAAAGGCGGAAGAAGCTTAGGTGGTTGTCTCTTTTGCTTCCCTGTCTTGTTGTTTCGGGATGAGGGTGAGACGTGACGGGGACAAGAAGACTCTGAAGCTTGGACAGATGACGGACGAGACATGGGTATCCGCACGTCTTTCGTCATGACAGCATTTTGGTTGATCTTGACTATTCCTCGTCTTTGCGTCGCGTGGGGCTTCCATGGCAGGCGTAAAGTATGGAAGCTTTTTCTTGTAAGATTGTCAAATGGGAACGCGGGGTGGAGGGCTCGGTGTGGAGGATGCATGCTGCTGTCTAGGGTTTACTTCGTCTTATTCTCCCTCTCTTTGAGTTTGTTGATACGATTGCGATGCGATGCTCGCTTGGGAGTTGATAGATGGCGTGTTCTTTATTCACCAGTCGTAGTAGTACTTTTTTTGGTAGTTGATTTTTCTCTTGTAGTACGGCCGCTGCGGTTGGGCTAAGATCAGATCGAATCGAAATGAAAATATGATCAATGAGTCTGACGTTCCTTCTGTTCATGGGGATGTGTTTGAGAGAGATGTTGGTCAGTATTGTGGTCCCTGAGGTTTTGGGCTGTTGCTGTTGGAGAGCGTAGTTGCGCATCGATGATCTTGGGCTTTGGGTCGTGTGCTGGGCCAACCTCTTCCTGCTCGGACATTTACGGGGTCACTCCGTAAGCAAGATGGAATCGCTTAGAAACCTATCAGGGAGGAAGATAAGCATAGGTATACGAGGGAGGTAGTAGGCGACTTTGATGAGGCAATTACACAAGGCTCTGAAGAGTTCAGTACAGTCATCGGGGTACCATTTCCCATGAAGGGATGGATCCCTCCAGCTCCATCACATACTATTATACATTGCCCTATCCGTCTGCTCTACGCAATCCCAAAAGGGCTCCGAAAGTTGCCGCGATCATGGGACGCGATACTCGAGGAAGCCCTATCATCTTCGTAGCTGTGGCTTTATGGCTGTTGAGGAATGATAAAGGACTGGTTGCCCCTGAACCTGATTTCTATCTGGATGGAGCTTTATGACTGTCTCTCTGTGATTCGTGTGGCTCAACCATTGAAGCTTGATGGCGATGTCATGTTCCGCGTTGGCATTTTTGGGCTTTCAGACTGCGCCGCTCATGCGTGGCACTGGCTTCCTGTCTTTCTTTGCTCATGGGAAAGAGATGAATTGTCATCCTATCGGCATCAAGGGTTTCTGGGCATAGGCAGGCTGGAACAAGGTGCCAATATATCAAATTGCGGTTCTCGTCGGTGGTATCGAGTTATCAACTGCGTCTATTGTAGTATACATACTTTAGGCGCTGCGATGAAGTGAAGGGCCGGAGAGATACCGAATGGGGTAGGCACAGGCTTGGCTTTCCTCCCACTCGTGACGTTCCTGGTATAGTCTGTCGAATCAAGGGCTCGTCCTACTCTCAGAAAGATATGTTCAGCCAGTGCAGGCACTGATCTAGCGCGTTCGGAGCCCATGACATGCGAAGCCATACTTAAGACCGAGGACGATAGCGTCTGTCTCGGAGATGGAGCCAGCAGTGAATCTGTCAATGATGACTCTGGTAATAGCAATCAAAGCCCTGGTCCCTACAGTGTTCGACCGAGCTCCTGGGTATGGCGAACAAATAGGGCCACGGCACGAGGTAATGGCGACAAATATTTGCCACACCAACCTATCGAATCAGCGAGAGAGACATGCCAAGCGACTGCCGATGGCATCCTGTGACCGAAAAGAACCATTCCTCGCCTGAATTTCTCGCAAGAATCACGGCATAGCGTGTCACTTGATACATCAAGCAAGCGCACAGGTGTCTAGACGAATCAAGGCGGGGCCCATGGTCGATGGTGACACTCATGCTGTCCTGGAACTATCGATCCACAGGATACATCCCGAGGACATGGTCAAATGATACAAAGACTTTCGTATTCAAGATTTAGAGTGATTAACTTGGGTCATTCAATGGGGTCTGGTTCTTCTACGAATCCTCAACGCGTTCTTCTTCCTCGCAGGGCGTCAAAGTCTTGACATTCGGCACCGGTAATTGTGATTCGGCCATAACCAGCATCAACTTCTTGTGAAATAAAGACTCCGGCCCACCAATGAGCAAAAGTGCTTTCTGAAGAGAATGCAGTACATCTCTGGCCCCCAGAAGCATACTATTGCATCCGGGCTGTAGGGAGCTAGACAACCACGTGTTACAAGCTAGGATGTCGATGAGAGCATCGGCAATACGGAATACTTTCAGCTCCTACAGGAAAGAAAAAAAGGGGCAAAATGTCAGCGTCGGCGCGGCCAGAACCTCGGTAGTGTGATACTTACTAGGCCATATCCGTGGGTCCGAATGGCCTGCTGGGAAACAGACCCGAGCAGGCGCATGGCCTCGTGGGCAACCTTGGCAGGCTTCAGCATGGAGAGCATTGCATCATCCATGCGGCTAGACATCTGGTAGTGGCTCAGAGCAAACTGCCACCAGAGTATGTGGATCCAGTTCCCCGTCATCAGCACGTTCACTCGCTGGGTCTCTGGGAGGTTGGGGGCCAGGGTCGAGAAGTCCTGCTTGGCCATGGCCGAAAGGGCGCTGTAGAGATTGTCGGCTTTACTGGAGCCGGGTGTGACACCCCCTCTGTCTGCCGCCATGACGATGTTATCGTCGAGTAGAGTGAAGAGTTGAGCGAGGAGTTGGAAGGAAGCGTCCACTTCGCCGGCTCCTTGTATGTGAAATCCGGAGAGCGGGAAAGTCTGGATTGGCTTGAGGCATGGTGGGAAACAGTTCTGCACGCAGAATGTCCTGTTTCTTCTCTGTCAGCAATCCGACCCTCCATAGAGGAGGCTTATCGACTGAACCGTCGCCAGTATGAAAGGGGAGGAACTCACCTCTCAGTTACAAACACCAACCAGAAGATCCGCAATAGCAATTCTCTTTGTTCGTCTGCGAGGCTGACTAGGATCTCTGGACGGTGTAGGCTTTGCAAATGCAATTGAGCAATTGCCTCATGTAAGTATACCGTGGCTAGCCTGATGCGTTCTGTGTTGGCGAAGTAGATGTGTAGAAAGAACGCAGTCAGTAAAGAGTCTGTCGTGTCTTCCTTGTAGTAAGTGCTTTGATGATGCTGATTGCTCAGATTATGCGAGAGTTGAGCATGATGTGCAAAGCTTTCCGCAATGCTGTTGTCATCTGAGACCAAGTTATGCTGCTTGGAAAGCCGCAATTGAGATAGTCGTAGCTGAGCAATTACCGTAGCACAGATGGCTCCAGATAATGCCCATGCATCGTGATCATCCAGCGAACCACTGATCCGGGACTTTAGGGATTCCACGTTGACGACGGGCCAAACACATGTTAGATGGTCTCGAAACTTGTCCAGGTATTCGATGTAAACCTCCAAAGGGTTCTTCTGGGCAGTACTCTCGTTCTCCACACCGGGAGTTGACGGCGATCTGGGGCTTTGCATTGGTCCACGAGCCGGAAGAGGGAGACCTGATCGATTCTGCCGAATCTGCTCCTGGTAGTTTACCACCTTGTGAGTGGTACTCAATCGAGGCCCCTTCGGTCCTCTCTTTCGTGGAACCCGAAGAAACGTGCATTCGACTGATCTTTTTCGGCATTCGTTGCAGGGTGGGCTGCTTCCTTGTAAGTGGCATCGTACTCGCCGAAGCGAGCATCCATCGCAGGGATAGTTCGTACGCTTCTTGCCTTTCTCCATATTCCGGTTTCAAAGGCGATGGTTACATGAGATGTCGGAAAAGTGAATTATGAAAATAGCCATATCTGGTTTCAAGCCTGGAAGACTGCAGTTGTCTTTCCTAAATACCATTTCAGGCGAATAAATCAAGCGACTGATTCTTGTGGGGGGTATGGATACCCGGACGCGGATTCCCTTTTTCAACCCATCGGCTCCGGGGCCCCTCCTTGTCAAGGTCATCGGATTTCCATGGGTAGCAAAAAATTCCACGAGAATTTAACCGGGCATCAGAGTCTCGGCCTTGTCGCTTGAACTTTTCGCTTGAAATATCCCGGGACCAACCCGCATTATCCACATGGAACCAACACTACGGCCCTTGACGGCTAGGTTGTCCGAGACCCGAGTCAACCACCACCTGATTGCCACGAGAAAAGTTGCAAGTCAGTGAAGTTCTCCAAGACTGCGTACGATCAAGAACCACCGATGCGGGTTGCACGTCGGACGATGTTGGCGCAAGCAAAATGTGTCTGGGAAAAGGCGGGTTGATGATTTTCTTCACGGAGGTCAACCCGCGCGAGCAAGAGGCATCAAGATAAATAGTTCTTCATGGTCCCGAATTCGGAAACGTGTTCCCCAGATTTCCCCGGACTTTACTACAACCATCTCCATCTTTCCCTGTCATCTTATCAGCTGTCTAGAGTCTGTGCTACCAATGGCGACCACCCCGGCCAATGTCGAGACTGCAAATGCACTCACAGGTCCGCGTGCTGCAGAAAAGCACGGCAAACATGAGCCGGTACTTTTGGATCATGTAGCCCACGATGCTCAAGCGGCGACGGAGGGCCAGAAGAACATGTCGGTCATGGAGTCCTTCCGGGCGTATCCCAAGTCTGTGGCATTCTCAATGGTCCTTTCTCTCTGCGTTGTCATGGAGGCATACGACACCTCCCTAATTGGCAACTTCTACGGCTTGCCGCAGTTCCGTCGAAGATTCGGAGTGCGGTTGGAGAACGGCGACTATCAACTTACATCAACATGGCAGTCGGGCTTGCAAAACGCTACTCAAGTTGGTCAAATGATTGGGCTCTTCGTCGGTGGCATGGTCGCGGAACGCTACGGATACAAGAAGACTTTCCTCGGTGCCCTAGTACTTAACATCGTCTTCATCTTCCTCTTCTTCTTTGCGCAGAATATCGGCTACCTTCTCGCAGGAGGTCTGCTTTGTGGCCTCCCCTGGGGTGCCTTCCAAGCTTTGACGACAACCTACGCCGCCGATGTCACGCCCATGGCCCTTCGACCGATCATGACGACTTATACAAACATGTGCTGGGTCATTGGGCAATTCATCGGTACTGGTGTCCTGCGAGGACTCCTTTCTCGCCCCGACGACTGGGCTTGGCGTATTCCCTACGCCATCCAATGGGTGTTCCCCTTGCCCATCATGGTTGGCGTTATGCTCGCACCCGAGAGCCCGACTTGGCTGGTTCGTAAAGGCCGTCTGACCGACGCTCGCAATGCTCTGCGGCGACTAGCGAGTTCCTCGACAACAGATGCTGAACTCGACGTCAGCATCTCCATGATCGCCCATACAAACGAGATGGAGAGACTGAACTCGGAGGGAACCTCATACATCGACTGCTTTCGCGGCACCAACCTTCGCAGAACAATGATTGCCTGCTTCGTGTGGGTGGGACAAGTTGCTTGTGGCGTTTGGTTTGGCAGCAACGTCATCTACTTCCTTCAACAAGCTGGCTTTGACTCGGACAACTCATTCAGCTTTGGTCTCGGAACTAATGCCATGGCTATCGTCGGCACCTTTCTCTCTTGGTTCCTTCTCCCCCATGTCGGACGTCGAACACTATATGTCGTTGGTCTTTGCATCATGTTCACCGTACTAGTGACCGTCGGCGGTATGGGCATTCCGGCTCCCCGTCCGGATCTAGGCTGGGCATCGGGAGCCTTGTTGATGGTCTTCGTCATCACGTACGACATGACCGTGGGACCAACTTGCTACTGTTTAGTCGCAGAAATTCCTTCCACCCGACTCCGAATCAAGACAGTTGCTATTGCCCGCAATGCCTATCTTCTGGCTAGCATCGGCGCCAACTTCTTGAACCCGCCTATCATCAACCCCAGCGCCTGGAACTTGAGAGGAAAGGGAGGATTCATCTGGGCAGGAATTTGCTTCTGCGAACTGGTTTGGGCGTACTTCTGTCTTCCCGAACCGAAGGGACGCTCCCCAGCTGAGCTTGAGATGCTGTTCGAGAACCGCGTGAGTGCACGCCAGTTTGCACAGGCTAAGGTGGAAGTATTTGCAGACAATGTGGGGAGAGATGAAAAGCACGATGGACCGATGGCGGTCAACGTTGAGGGTCGGTGAGTAGGGAGAGTAACTAGGGAGAGTCGCTGTCAAATACAGCATCATGAGCTTGACCGAACCGAGAAAGTATACGAATACCTTCTTCAATATTCTGCCAATGAGACCTTTGGGTAAATGATCTTCTGTGTTAATGAATGCAACGAGACACTTGGCAAGTCACTATTGATGGTGATCGGAGGTGTAGATAGACACGGCAGCGATGTCTTCAAGATCGGTTAGGCAGAACAAAAACCCAGCACAGGCATGATGAAAGTCACATCCATTCATTCGTATTTACAATCTAGTAGTCGTTTACAGAAGTGACTTCCAACGACTCAAGCAATTCCTGCGGCCGCGAAGTACAATTGAAGTGTAATACGAAGCAGTATCCGTTAATAATCAAGCTGATGTGACAACCCCAAACTCCCCGGCTCATGGTTCCACGAAACAAGCAGAGATCTCAGACCTTGTTACCAAACCAAAACTCCGACCCAATATCTCCGTAGGGTATCATTACCTAGAACTCCTTTGACGATAGACGATGTCACGACTGCTCGTACGCGAAGAGACACGGGCTCGACAGCTTAGAAGAGTGTGGCCCACGCCTATACATGCAGTGGGGTAATCTGCGACTTCCACTTCTTGCCTTGAGGCCGGCGCCCAATACGCGCGACCTCTCTCTCCGACAGCCAACGCTCCTCGCGCTGTAGTTGCTGCTGTCGTTGCAAGCTGGGGCTGGGGCTAGGACTTTCCGAGCCGCTGGTGCTCTTGGGAGTCATCAGCCTCGTCCTCTTTGCAACACGAGGTTTATCCTCGTGTTCCCCAGCCCCTTCGCGTTTTCTCTTGGTAGAGAGGAGAGACTTTGGATCGGCATCCTTGGGCGGGGATGGATTCTTGGTCGAATGCTTGGCCGGCGCCTCCAGAGGGTGAGAAGAAGCGGGCTTGTTGTTCTTTGAGTCATTCTTGGTCGGTGCCACTCTGGATTGCTCTGGCATCAAGAAAAGAACATCTGGCATGTGCTTCTCGATATCCTCAAACCAGTGAGAGCACAGTTTCTTGAGAATTGACTTGAAACCCCGCTCGCTGAGGTAGGAATGGACATTGTCTAAGTCGGGATAGTACTCTTCGAGGAGGTCCTGGCGCATCTGGCGCGGGATCTGGCGCCAGACAGAATCTTGAGACCGAACAAACTTCGAATAGAAGAACTCGAATACACGAGAGTGGGCGGCACCGGGAAAGTACTCCTTGCTTCCAGCCTCGGTCTTCTTGCCAATTCTAGCTGCAAGGCAGATGATGGCCAGACTTCTTTCATTGAGCATGGTATATGAAAGCTGATAGGAGGACATCTTGAGTGGTGAAGAGATGGGTTTGTGTTGTGAGAAGAGGAAGAGTGTTGTGTGAGAGAAGTGGTTGTATGAGGCGTAGACGAGTATGGTATGTACAAGAAGAGACTTTGCAGAACGTAGAAAAGTGTATGAAATGAACAAGAGTGTGGTGGATGCTGGGCGAAGAGAATGAGAATCCATGGGGGATGGAAGGCGGTTTATATTAGTCTAGATGAACAATTAGCAGAGTACCGTGTTGGTCCATGGCATCTACCTTGGTTCACTTGACGGCAAATATTCGACCTGGATGTCGGAGTGAGCAAGTTAGACCACGATGCCTCCTCGGCAGAGTCTGCGATATTGAGCAGATCATTGGCTGACCGGGAACCTTAGTTGGTTGAGTTTGAGACTTTAGGGGTTCACTGGCTATGTAAAGTCTGTAGATATGCCAAACAGGTATGATAGCTACGTCGAGGAAGACTCTAGTCCGGGATTTCGTCTTGAAACTGTATCTCCGAAATCGTTCTGACTATTCTCAGCCGCGATGGTGTCCACGAGGCTCAGTCGACCCGGGACTCAAGGTTTACGCCACCAAGCGTCGTGCCGTACCGTTACGACCTTACCCAAACGTTTGGTCAGGCATCCAGGAACGAATATCTTGGCCTAGGAAGACGGCATGTGCGGGCCAATAATACTGCTAAGCGTATCATACTACACTTCAAGTAAGACTGAGAAAGTCTTCAACTGGAGTACATTGAAGCATGCAGATTCGATCTGAGAAATCGTAGGGTATGAATAGCGGGTAGCATCTGCTGTGATATAAATTAATTGTTTCATCATCTACAGATCTCTAATTGTTTGGTCTGTGACTTTGCTGGGGAAGGGGGCTTATAGCCTTCGAGTTCAGGGTAACGGATCAGTGGATTAAGCTTAAATGCCTTCTCTTATTGCCTCATTCGAGAACTCCTGGGCTTAGCTTTCCGACGACCAAGGTACCTGGGGTCTGACCTGAATTTGACCGAACAGATGTCAACATATCTGGGCGGACTAGACGAGGATGGCCTGGGTCACCCAGGCATCATGGTACATACACAGTGGATTACCCAAGATCCTAACGTGTTCTATATGAATTGGCTGGTAAAGATGCGGTGATTGAATTGCCATGCGAGTTGAAAAAAAAAAGCCATGCAGATAGTAATCCGAAAGATTCCTGTCTCAATGGGGTGACCGGCGTCTCCATCCACTCCTGTCTGAAACACCTCTTCCATGTGGACTACAAGATCGAAGTGAAAGGTCATCGAAAGAGTATCCTGCCTTTGGAAAAAGGAACGCCGTGCCAATCTACAACTTGTCAAGCTCAGTGGTGTTGACAACCATGTACTCGCAATGGCTTTCCGATGTCAAGCTAAGTTTTTGCCCATTAGGCTGGCTCTGAGAACTGTGGCTTCGATGAAACGTCTGTCTTTCGCAAGATGTATTGGGTGCAAGTTGCTCTCATTTTCTGGCTTCAGCAGCGAAGACCGAGCCGTGTGAGTGTGTCTCTCAAGCCATCTGTGCTAGTTGATCTCTTGCTGCATTAATGTGGAAGCCACAGAGAAGGAAGACGGCGATGATGAATTAAGATTTCAGTGCGGAGAGCGGTAGTGCGAGATAATAGGTTATATAGAGCAATTTAGACTCAAGAAGCCGAAGGCTCTGTCCTGGATGTCATCCGAGCTGTGGGGGCTAGCGGACTTAGACGCGGCCTTTAGCACCGGCTGACACCCCTGCACACGGAGCCGAACGTCATAACATCCAGTACGATGACTCGCTAGTTTCAAAATTGAAGCCGTAGAGGCAGAATAAGTCAAATAATTCACGAATACAGCATTCGGATTTATCTGTTATGGCCAGCAAATTTGCGGTTTGCTTACTTTCCTAAAGAAAATTACCGGGCTAAAGCTGTAGGCCATGGCTCTGCTTTACGAGAACGATTGATGATGACCCTACACAAGAACTTATATAAAGTCACCGATTCTTTCCTTCAATGTCTATCAAATGATGTATCACTTTCAATTCTACAAAGCTATCCTCTTACTACTCGCTGTCCCTACACACCCACCATCGTCACTCCAGTTCCATACCAAGATGGTCAAGACTCTCCCCTTTGGCGGCATCCGCGTCCCAGTACCGGGGTTCGGTGCAATGGGCATAACGTCGGCCATGGGCACTAGGCTCTCGGCTGAGCAGGCGGAGCCTGTGCTTCTAAAAGCAATCGAGCTGGGCTGTACCTTTTGGGACACTGCTGTAAGCCCTGTGCCGCACGTAGCAAGTCTCTTTTCATGACGTTCCCTTACATGAAATCAGGTTGCGTACGACGCAGGTCTTAACGAGAAGATCCTCGGGGATTTCATCCGCAAGCACAACGTTCGGGATAAGGTCTTTGGTAAGGTCAAGTTCACTTATGGCATCGTGTGATAATCTAGTATTGACCTTATATGTCAAGTTGCCTCCAAGTGTGGCTTTGATGTCTTCAACGACCGCAGTGTCACCAACTCGAGATCCCATATCCGGTCTTACATCAATGGTACCATCGAAAGACTAGGCTTCGCACCAGACCTGTACTACCTGCACAGAATCGATCCGAGTATGATATCCTCTCTAGCCTGTTTCTACTCATCTAACAAAGGCTATAGAGACACCTCTGTCCGAGTCCATCGCTGCTCTTGACGAGATTCGGAAGGAGGGGAAGACCAAGTACATTGGCCTGTCAGAGTGCTCTGCCAAAACCCTGCGCGAGGCTAACTCGAGTATGTCCCATCCGCCACAACGACTTCAGCTTCATCTTTCATGCAATTAAAAACTGACGTTTGAAAAGTCGCAAAGGTCGATGCGGTCCAAGCGGAGTATTCTGCCTTTGAGACCCTCCATGAGGAGAGCGGCCTAATTCAAACGGCCAAGGAATTGGATGTTGCCTTTGTAGCGTTCAGCCCGTTGGGCCACGGCTGGTTGGTCGACTACTTCGACTATCAGAGCCCCGACGACTTCGTGCCCGATGACTTCCGTCGAACTGGTATGTAGTCACAGGCACTCGAATGCCTTCCTTCTCTTTCCCCGGTGAGCACATTTTCTGACCTGCATCACAGTCCCCAAGTTCCAAGGAGAGAGCTTTTATAAGAACAAGGCCATCGTGGACGAGATGAAGAAGATCGCTACCGAAAAGGGCTGCTCTCTTGCTCAGCTTGCCCTGGCCTGGGTGGCTGCCCAAGGTCTCATCACCATCCCGGGTACTACCAAGCCGAAGAGGCTGGAGGAGAATTGGGCCTCCCGGGATGTGGAGTTGTCGGAGAGCGAGGTTCTTGCCATCAGGAAGCTGGTGGAAGCCAACAAGCCTGAGGGCAAGAGATTCTCAGCAATGCATGAGGCCGCAGTCGGCCACTAGTATGGACCGTCTGGATCGTGGGCTGATGCTTCTAGCGCTAGCTGTAGATCGCCTGGAACTCAAGCTCGAGAGTAGAGATGCATACATAAATCGGTTGTAATCATCACATTGTCACTCCCGCCTTCCTGAAAAGCTTTCGCTCATCCTGCCACACTCTCGGAGGAAAATTACGGAGCTGTTCCGGCATCTTCACACGAGAGCTCCGGACGGCGATCGGTGGTTGGCGGGGTTATCGGACCCACAGTAAGCAGGTCAACCGGACCAGCTCCCTACACCATGCCCCGCAAAACCGCGCTAAGCTCTGAAGCCAAGTACCTCAGTATCCGGACGCAAAAGTTTGCCATGTGAATGCTGCATACGTTGCGGGAAGCAACTTGTATTCAATGCTGGTCTACGATAGAGCGAACTCAACTTGAATGCTTCTCCCGCCTTTACTGCGCCAGTTTGCTGTGTAGGGCACGGCGATACAAGTTGTCTCGGCTGGCGGCCTACAGGGCGTACCAAGGCCACGGTGGCCGTTGATTGCAAAGGAATGTTGGAAGCCATTGAAAAAGTGCTTCGCGCAGCTCGCCGTTTCTCCCTAGTGAGACAGGGTGTCAACGCCAGGGGTGGAAATCTATTTCGTTCAGCACACGCGTCCAGCCACGTGTTCACGAGAGTCGCTGATAAGATATCATCTCGAGGCGGAAAAATGGATATCGCGATGTGAAACAGACAGGTCGATAACAAGACAAGAAATTGTGGATTGGATTGATCAAATAGACTTTGGCGACTTGAGTCAAGACCGGCGAAGACGGGCAGTAATGTCGGCACCTGCGGAGCTCCATGCTACGATTTTAGCGGCGGAAATCAAACATGATGATGTCCCGATGATGCCCAAAATTGAAGAACGAAAAGCACGACAGCATCTCGGCGGACGGATACATGATACATGTGAAGGCCCAGATGGAGAGCTCTCAGCATGTAAGGTACGGGGCAACATCGTATTATTTACAGAAGATGCCTATTCAGGGTCCACGAGCCGGGGGGAGAAGGTCCCTCCCTCCCTTCCATCCACCGGGCTCATTGTGTCGTGCTTCAAGGTGGAGCCCAAGCCTCATGGCGCCACAAGAGCTCAGCAGGCGCACCTGGCCCGTGCACCACAGCTGGGGCGGTGCAATTTCCAGGCTGCGAGAAATTCCATTTACTGGCAGAAGGGGCCAAAACTTAGCCAACCAAGCAGGCCTTCGAGGAGATACAAGCAAAGGGCACACGACAGAAGCGTCAGATTTCTCCTTTGACACATTGCTTCAATCAACAGCTTGCTTCCATCGGCAGGATTGTATTGATTCTCGCCATCTCTAGCCACCATCACAAAAGGGTGTCCCCAAACTCCTGACACATAACCCACAAGGCCCATCTCAGCCTGCGCAGCAGCTGTCAGCTCCCTGGCCCGATCGCCGAGATAGGGAGAGAAAGAAAGCGCCTCGACATCACGACCGAGCGCCCGCAGCCTTACGACCTGCAAGTAACTTTCCAACACCTTGCTGGCACGTCCTTCATCGCCTTGCTATCCGGTGACGACCTGCGCGAACTGCGACGAGTGTTTAGCGTCTCATCTGCGACCATTGCTTGACCGGGCCCGAATCTCAGGATCATCCCCGAGCCAGCCCTACCTCCCTTTCCCTTTGACGACATACCCACGACACCATCTCGACATCAGACACAATGTCAGCAGCGGCAGGAGGTCTTACCCGACGCCGTGGAGGCGGAGGTGCCGCGGCCGGCGATGGTGAGGCCAGCAATGGCGCCAGCCGGACCAACTCAACGCCCAACATCAAGGATAGCGCCCCCGAGACGAGCTACGAGAGCGGCGAGAACGGCCACAAGATCGCCTTCGACCCCCGCGACATCAGCGAGAGCGCCGAGCGCAGCAAACAACCCAAGCTGACGTTGATGGAGGAGGTTCTGCTCCTCGGTCTCAAGGACAAGCAGGTATGCCGACGACGAGCGCTGCGCACCGATTTCCACACATGAAGCCAGGTCGCTAATTGACTTTTTACACGGTGCAGGGTTACCTGTCATTCTGGAACGACAACATCTCATACGCTCTGAGAGGATGCATCGTCATCGAACTCGCATTCCGCGGTCGCATCAGCATGCAGAAGGATGCCTCGAGAAGACGTTTCCCCCTCGCGGATCGCGTCATTGAGGTTATCGACGACACCCTGACAGGCGAGGTCCTGCTCGATGAGGCATTGAAGATGATGAAGCAGAGCGAGAAGATGAGTGTCAGCTCTTGGATCGATCTGATGAGCGGTAAAGCTACCCCCCTTTCCCCTCCCTAAAATGGATTGGAGCACTGCGCTGTCCACTTCGCCCTTGGAAAGCACTCTGGCTGACGGATGTGGGCCACCTACAGGAGAGACCTGGAATCTGATGAAGATCGGATACCAATTAAAGCAGGTTCGCGAGCGCCTGGCCAAGGGTCTAGTCGATAAGGGCATCCTCCGCACCGAGAAGCGCAACTTCCTGCTGTTCGATATGGCGACCCACCCCGTCGCCGACGGAGGTGCTAAGGAGGAGATTCGCCGCCGCGTCCGCAACGTTTTGACCCAGCGTACTGTCGTCCTCCCCGCATCCCAATTCCTGCCCGAGAACCTCGAATTCCGTTACGTCCGTACTCTTGCCATGGTGTGCGCCGCCTACGCTGCCAACGTGCTCGAGAACGCCCTGAGCACCCTCGGCCACGAGGCCCGCGAGCGCGCCTTTGCCCAGACAGACGAGCTTCTCGCCGACTACAGCCAATGGCCTTTTGGAAAGAAGGCTACCGGCAACGGTATCGGTGCCAACCTGCCTCAAGTCATCGCAGACGTATGTTGAACAGAATTTCCCCATACGGCTTAATAGCCTGGATTTAACACTTTTGCAGGAAATCAGCAAGGGCAAGGATAAGGAGCTGCAACTCGAAGTTGTGGCTGCCTGTCTTAGTGTCTTCACCCGTCTTGATTCCCTCTTGTAAACCTAATCGACCTCGACATTCTCGAAACCGATCATTCCGCTGCCTCGACTTTGTACAGGGCAGAGAGCACTGAGCGAGTTTCGGGAACACGACTCCCCCATTTCTCAATCCCATTCACAACCTAGACACATCGAAACGCCCCAGCATTGAGCTCTCCCGACCTTCACCAAATTCGAACCCTCACGAGAAATGATAAAATAAAGCAACAGGGGAAAGCGACTTTCTTATGCTCCCCATCAAACCAAAAAATGTGCAGCATGTAAGGTGGCCGTGGGGGAGCAGGATATTGGGTTCGCAAACTTGGGGGCAAAATATCATGAGAGGGCGCTATACCCTTCTTTTTGCCTCATGGGAGAGAAAACGGTTTCCAGCAAGGGAAAAAAATGAAGGATGATGGGACGGCGAAAAATACACACGCGTGTAGTTGGTTGGGTTTCAACTACTTTTTTTTTTTACCGTAAGCGATCGTTTTAATGCAGAACACACTCAGTCCACGTCCCGAGAAACGAGAGCGAAGAGGGAAAATGAGTGTGAGATATCAGTTTGAAAGATTTGCATGGGCTTGTTCTACCGTCTCCTTGCCTTGCGTTGTTGTCTTAGCTGAGATGTGCAAGATATGGTCATATATCATATATCCGGCCGGCGTTGATGAGAGCTTGAGTCTGAAGTCTTCCTTCCCTACGAGTCATACCAACCTCGTTACGATAGCCTCGGAAACACTGACTAACCTCTGCACTGATATACAGTAGTGGAAGTCCACGAAGCGATGAAAACAACCGTGACATGGCTAGAACGATTGAAATATGTATTCATGGGTTCCCTCCTACGCCGCCGTCCACCTTTTTTTGTGCAGAAGAAAAAAGACAAAACAATGTACAGTAGTTCTCTTTTTGTTCCCAGAAACGCCGTTTTCCATCCATAGTGATGATGCAAAAAAAACCGCTCGTCGGTTTTCCTCGGACACACACAACTTGTGTCCTGCCTCCACTGCTCCGGGGGGGATATCGATTAATCTCCTGTATCGCCAACCTCCTCACGGCCTCAAACCTCATTCCTCACGATAGCTCTCTGCTCAAGCCCCCACGCTTATTTCTTCTTCTTACCGCCGCCAAAGCTCCCCTCAAACCCAGGACGCGCCTTGGTCTTCTTCGCCCCACCGCCGCCGACCTTCTTCCCGCTCTTGCGACCGAGCTTGTGCGCCAGCTTATCATCCTTGCGCTTCTTCAGGTTATCCTCGCGCTTCTTCTGCTTCTCGCGAATCGACTTGGCCACCCCGTCGCTGCGCTCCTTCCACGCCTTTTCGCTCTTCTTCTTGGTCTGCTCCTTGCGCTTGACCGCCCTCTTGAGAGCCTGCTCGTCGTCCCGCACGCGCTCGCCCTCGGCGCGTTTCCGGGCGACGAGCCACTGCTCCTTTTCGGCAATGTCGGCCTGCTTCTCCTTGTCGAGGGCCGCGAGGCGCTTCTTCTGGTTCTGGATCTTGATGAGCGCCGTCTTGGGGTCCGAGGGCCCGCGCTTCTTGTGCGTGTTGAGCGCGTGGGAGAGGTCGTGCGAGAGCTTCGTTCCGTCGTCGAAGGCGACGCGGCCGAAGGCAAAGTTGGCGGGCTCGTCGCCGTCGTCGCCGCCGAGGCCGACGCGAGGCGACATGACGCTGGGGGAGTTTGACGCGAGCGTCTCCTCGCGCCGGGCTTCCTCCTCGAGCTTGGCCTTTGTGCGGAGCTCCTTCTTGTGCTCCTTGCGCTGGGCCTGCTTGAAGCGGCGCGCCTCGATGAGCTCCTGGCGCGTGCGGATCGGTTTTCCGTCGGGGCCGTCGGCTTTGCGGGCGGCGCGGAGGGCTTCTATGCGGGCTGCGAGGCGGGCGCGGAGGGCGGAGGTGTCGGCGGGGAGTTTGATGTGCTTTGGCTTCTCGGAGGGCGGGACGGTGGAGCTCGTCGAGGTTGTCGTGCTCGCGGTGGCGGCCGCCGCGGTGTCAAAGGTTGGCGAGGCCGGTGTCGAGGCGCCGCTGGACTCTGTGGCCTTTTGTTGTTGGGCGAGGCCAGAGAGGTCGAGGGGGTTGAGGTCGGCGGATTTGGACTTGGACTTTGTCGCGGGTTCGGCCTCGTCGTCGGACTCGTCGACGGTTTCGTACTCCTCGTCCTCATCCTTTTCCGCGTCCCTGTCGTGGTCGTTGCTGACGGGCTTGGCATCCTTGGACTCGGCCTTCTTCTGTTGCTTCTTGTTGGATTCCTTCTTGGCAGCCGCCGGGGACTTTGCAGCCTTGGTGGCGGCGGGCTTGCTGGACTCCTTGACCTCGGGCACCTCAGCGTCAGCATCGGCAATGGCGGCGTCACCACCAGCAGCCTCCAGCTTAGCAGCCTTCTTCTCAGCCTTCTTCGCCTTCTTGGTCGCGCGCTTCTCCAGTTTGGCTTCCTTCTTCGCCATCCTCATGAGCTGGTTCTGCGACATCTCGGCAGGGTTGGCGTCATCAATCGTGTCGATCGGGAGGTCGGCCGTCTTCTGCTTCTTGTTATAGTCCTTGTTCATCCGCAGGCCCTGGCCGGGCAGCTCCCTCTGCACGCCCGGGATGGGCTCGTCGTCCTCCTTGTCCTCTTCCTCCTGCATCGCCTCCAGCTTGCGCTTGTTGCGCGCCGCCCGCTCGTCCATGACTTCCTTTGCGTTGCGGTTCAGCTCGCTGTCGGGGTCCAACTTGGCCGTCTTTGCGGCTTTGGCTTCGGCTTTCGTCTGCTTCGTCCGCTTCCATTGTTCCTGTTGCAAGAAAGAAGCGTGAGCAAAGTGCGCTCTTCAATAGAAGGTACTGTGGTGCTGTGTAGCCAAGGCACAAGCGATGGAGTAGGGGACGAGGCTGGCTTCCTTTCGGTCGCTTTGCGATTTTGCTTTGTAGGGCCATTGAAGGATGTAAGGTGCGGACTGGGGGCAAACATACAGAGTTGTCTTCTCCATAGTACATCTTTGCCGGAATGAGGGACAAGAGACCATCAAAGGCCTTTGAGTGCTCGCGCAGGCGATCCTACGAAGCATGTTAACATTGTGTCTTTTGTGGCGACCTCATAGGATCATCACCGCCGCCAGCAGCCTTTCTCTCTCTTCTTTATTTTTTTTTCTTCGACCGGTGGCGGGGCACGGGCAACACAACGAACCTGCAAAGTAGATTCCGCCATATTCCCTTTGTTCTGTTCCTTGGCCTGTAAGATTCTTATTGAAAGAAGCAAATGTTCTTCTATGTGTTGGCCGCAAAAGGGTGGGTTGGAGTGCTGCTGAGCCAAACGAAAATCAACGGCTAGGCGGGTGCAAGCAGACTCGGTGAACAGAGACAGAGCTTTGATACTGCGGCGGTTGCGGGCGGATTGGCTGCGAATTTTCGGGCAGTTCGAAATTTTTTGGGGTGTGGAGAAATCGCTTATGCGAAATCTTGGCGCTTTTCTGCCACCGAACTATCACCTGTTTTTGGGGGCGGTGAGCTCGATTTCCACCCCGCAATGACATAGCGCCCCGATATACGCATCTTAGCAAGTTGTCCGGCTTCAAACCTCAGGGTCCAAACTGCAGACCCCATCACCAAACTTCTGGCTGGGATTCGCTCATCTTGAAACATATGCTTATCTGACCACCAATGTTGTACTGCCCTAGAGTGCTGCACTGAGATACCGAAGTCAAGTTGTAACCACCAATGGCATTAATCACTGCTTTGATTGGTAGTAAGTCTTTCTAAGCATACATCTCTACTCCGGAATACCATAACACAATTCGCAAATCTATCACACGGCTTGGAAACTCCACCGCCACGAGTGGATAAGTGGAACCGCCCAACTGTAGACCCATTCCGTCCAATAATCAGTCCTACAAGCCCGAACGCCGCAATCCTGGGATTCCCATGCCGTCCCATGCCGTCTGAGAAGCAGTGCCGCCCAGCCTAATAATCATGTCACCCTCAGCAAAGTCAATGGCCAAGGAAAAGGCATTGACATCACAACGCCTGTTCCGATTGTTTTTTTGTTTCGGATAAGACAACCGCCTCTCGCTAGTCTTTCTCAAGTCGTAGCCGCAACAGTAGCCTACTTAAGGACTCTCTCATATCAATCCACTTTCGTATGTTCGTTTGTTGCGAGCCGTGTCTTCAAAGACACCATTCCTCTCGACGAGGATATATGCCGTGGTCATGTAGCATCCGTTGTGTCGTAGTAGAAGGGTGTCTAGGCGATTTACGCGCCTGCCATTCCAGCTGCAAAGGAGGGCGTCTGCGGCTGAAGTGAGTAGCCGTTTGTAGACTTGGCGCTCAGCTCAGCCTGTCGCTGGCGATCCGCCTTTTCGCGCTCGAGCTGCTCCTTTTCAGACTTGGTGATACGCGGTTTGCGAGTAAGAGAGCCGCCTCGGGATCCGCGACCACCTCGGGAGCCTGGTCCGCCTCCACGACCAGTGCCGCCCTCACCTCGAGTCGTACCGCCACGACCGCCAATACGACCGCCTCGACTTCCACGGCCACGCTTGGGCAGTCCGTCGGGTCTGAAATGTGTCAGTGAACTGTATGCAATATAGGAATGATAGTGAATGCAACATACCTTGTATCCGCAGGCTTCTCAACCTCTGGCACCAAAGGTCCAGAGTACACAAAGAAGCCATCCCGGCTAGCGGCCGCCTGCTGCTCCCACAGAAGCTCGGAATCGTCGACAAAGTCGTCATCCTTGTCGTACTCATCTTCTTTGAAGTTGCGCTTCTTCTTCTTCGGCTTCTCGGGAAGGTCGGCACCACTCGTCATACCGCCCATCTCCACGTTACTAGCTTCCTTGTCTGAATCCTCGGACATTTCGTCGCCAGATTCCTGGCCTGACGCCGTTTTCTCCAAGGCAGCCGAGGCAGCAGCAATGCGGGCCTTGCGATCTCGCTTCTCCGCCAGGCGAGGGTGCAGGGCATCCCAGCCATACTTCTCCTCAGCCATACGCATCACGTTGATGTAGATATTCGTGTCGCCGGGCTTGATAGGAATGTCCAGGACAATATCCGGGGCC